ATCTGTTTCATGAACCACATATTTAAGATTACTTAAAGTCTGCCATATTAGCTCATGTCCCTGCTTGTATTAGGCATGATTCATATTATTTAAAGGACAAACTTCTTCTTGTCTCAGAATCTTCCATCTAAATGTGAAGATTTTTGCCCATTTTAGACATCTTCTGGTTTTTTAGTAAACAATAGTAGCAAGCAATAACCAATATAGCTCCAAGCAGCAATTCAAGGGGCCCAAGCACTTCACTGAAAGAAGGCCCAAGTAGATTGAGCAGTCTGATTAAGTACTTGTACTTTAAAACACTGAACTGTACAAAAAAGGGTATATTTTTGTTCATCAACGTCCAAAAAAATGTAATTATACCCTAAAAGGTACAACAACAGCCTCAAAAGTCCAAGTGTTTTTCCTCAGGGGAAAGGTGCTTATTTTCACTTTTTTATAACCTAAACTAAAGAAATAAGATGAAATGCCTGGAGTCAAGACAGGGTGTATGCAGTCAAAACAACTTAAAAAATATAATTGTATAATTGTTCCCTAACCAAAGGTACTGAAAGCATACCCTTGAGGGCACAATTATGTGAGAGGTACCACCCCAGTGACACAGTTTAGTACCTCTTTTTGAAAGTGTACAGTAAAATCTAAAAAAAAGACAAAGCAAAATAATAAGAAAAATTCAAAAAATTGTAACGAGGATCCAGCAAATTATGCTTGGATATTATAATATATAATATAAACAATATTATAACTTTTCACCATCCTTACCAACTATCCCCACCTATCACTGAGAGAAAATGCTCTGCCAGCTTAGCAACAGGGCTGTGCTAGTGACAGAATCGTCTACTTCTATTATATATTATATATGTTTTTTTTACCTTTTCATTTTTTATTTCCACAAAGCATTCACACACATTTTCCTCTGGTAATTTTGAGACATGCCCTAACAATGATGCAGACATGGAAGCAAACACAGTGATAGCATGCAGGCTAAAGCTTAATCTTTGTTAAACAAAAGAACATAAAGCAGTGTCTGAGGATATTTTTCTGACTGCTTAGCTCAAGGCCTTTTTGTCACAGGCCGTTTCACCTGATGTCCAGTTGTACATGAGCTGAGACATGACCAATTTTAAAAACAACAAATTCTACTAAGTGTGCACAACAGGTTCAGGTTTTGTTGTTGCTGCTGTTTTTAATAATCCTAGAATGGAAAAAACTGCTTAACTAACACACCTGCACTGATTTATCTCAACACCCCGTGGAGGTAAAACACTCCCACAGTGCATGTTTGAACCATGAGCACTTGGTATTTGAATGACAAGTAAGAGAGAAGATCCTATATGGCAGCTTTACAAGTCAAAATAGAGGAAATGCTCAAAGGCACAGGTCCACAGTTTTGACAGCAATCCACAGGTAACGTGACTGAAACTACATGACTAGATGAACGTGTTCTCTGGTGTTGACATCTAAATTTGGATCTCTTTCACCCAAAAAGATGTCGGCTAATTACAGTGCAGCCTATGGCCTTGTCAGTCGAAAGATAAGAGCCTCTATTTAAAGGGGCATTTCAGCCTAAAACTAGCATTTGTTATTTGTTATGCAGTATTCTGTAACGCAGCATACCCTGGGAATCCCTGTGGTGTCAACCAATTCTGACTGCTAGTCACTAATCTAGAGGCTAATGAATAAAGCTGTGGTGTTACCTAGCATTAGTGATATAGCACTTACCAAATTAGTCGTTCAAATTTAAAGTTTCAAACAGTCCGCTCCCAAGTATCCATCCCAAAGAACTTGTAGTCGGTCAAAATTCACTTCTACCTTCAAGGTACATCTTCAGAAGGGGGGGGGTTTGTAGTTTTTAAAACAGAAAACCTCACTCTAGAGACTACTGTGGCACAGCTGTAGGTGAGTAGTCATGGTTACGACAGATGTTATGTGTACATTTTTCATTTTGGCAAGAGTGTAAACATGTACTGCAGATAACATCACATTAAATGCACAACAGTTGTGTAATCAGTGGTCAGGATGGCTTAGTTTGTTGAGCAAACCAAGGTTGGTATGATTCATCAAATTCTCAGTCTAATTTTTTTGTGTATGTCTTCCACACAACTGTATGTTGCTTCTATAAATGCCCAACAATCACAGCTGGTGAAACTTTGACCCGTCACTCTTAAAAATAAAGGTTCCTGAATGGAAATGGTTCTCAACTTGAACATATAGTTCAAGTAAAACCGTTAATTGCTATAGAACCTTCACATACCGGCATGTCTCATTTACAACAAGAAAGATCCTAGAATGGTTCTTTAGTGGCTCATTTGTAACACTGCACCTGTATTTTTGAAAAGGAATTCTAAAATTTACAAAAATTTCTGCATAATTGAACTGTAAACAAATTTATTCAGTGATTTGATATGAAAAGTGTTTTAAACATACTTTTTAAAATCTATTCATGGCGGAGTGATACATGCATACACTACTTTGTACATGATACATACATTGTATGACAAAATAGTCCCCAAAGGAAGCTTAATTTTCAGATTTACCACTATTTTACCATCATCAACATTACATCTAAAAACTATGTAAGTATGTAAGTTCACTGGTCGCAAACAAAATGGGTATGCCTGTGTTGTTGACATCAAATTCCCTGATTCCTATCACTACCACTGTGAAGAAATCTGAGTTTGTAAGTTTGTCTAAAATACACCTTTTCACATCAAAATACTCTGAATGACTTTGTTACTCTCAACTAAAATTATTGGCGGAATTCCTATTTAACTGTAAAGGTACACAAAGGCTCCTAAGCTGGGTCTGATTGGGGCTAACCATGAACTTACTGAGAGTCAGTGTACCATTAGTCAACACTCCATGACTTCCACAAAGTTGGCAAATTCCCATCTTCTCAACAAAAGTAAGGAATCAAGTCTTTAGCAGGCAATTAAAACCAATTAGGTTTGCTGTCAGTCACAGTGCGTTGTGGTGTGACCTTGGCTGATAGACATGCAAGGAGGTCGTGCTAGTGTTGCCTAAAACTCCTCACGGTCTGGGTCTTATGCTTGGTCTTATGCTGCTCGTCCTGGGCCTTCTCACGTCTTCCACGATGGGACCACATTATGACAGTTAGCCCAAATATGGCCGGCGCACGCAAATGTCTCATCTGGACAGTTAACCCACAATACATTCATTGAGAACTGCAGTGCGGTAATTAAAAAGAGCATGCCTGTTGATATGATCTGAGAGACAGTTCAAATGGTTTGGGAGTTCTCCATCTGGCCAGGGGCATTGTGCTTCGTAAGAGACAAGCATTAAAGCGTCATTGAGGTTAACCAGGAATTCATTTTCTTTTCTTAGTAGTATCAACCTTTTTGTTAAGCAGTTCACTAGGCTTAGGGGGTAGCCAGCAGCTCTAGGCCTCTAATGGTCAAGACAAAAGCCATCTTTATTAAAAACATAAAAACTGGCAGCTTGTATTTAGACTCCATAGACACCAGTGCAAAGCAAGATTACAGATAGCTAAGCAAATTCCAGCTCCTAAGTGTGCTAAATTAAAAGAGACCAGCTAAATAATTGTGGTGTCATGTTTGAGGAGACTGATTATCGTCCATCTGCTGTGATCTTGCCCCTTGTGGGCTGATGAATGCTAACGACAGCCCAGCTACACTGACCCCAGCAGCTGCTACTCTCTGACAGCAGCCCCAACAGTGATGACCTCAGTCAGCCATGAGCTAATTAGCTTAAAAATGGTCTTAATATGCTGATTTGGGCGTCTGGAAAAGCTGGAAGAGCGTTTGTGAGGTTGAAGAAATTAGGTGGTGTATTAAGCGCCAGTTTGAAAGAAAACACAGTGAGCTTATTTACACATCAAAAAAAAAACAAAAAGAAAAAAAAATGAGTTAGAAAACCAGTGTTAAACAGAATCAGGGAGAAATATTTTTATGTATATTCATTCACTTGCCATATTTTATTATACCTTTTGTTTTTTTTGGACACCCACCCAGTCATGGAATAATCAGCCAATGGGCAGTGCATAAAATCATGGAGATTTGGGTCAAGAACTGCAGTTAATATTCATATTAAACGTCAGAGCTGGAGACTTTGACCATGACATGGTTATTGGTTTTGGATGGGGTAGTTTGTGTTGTTCAGAGAATGATTTTCTTCTCAGAATGGTGCGAAAAACAAACAAAAATTCCAGTGAGCAGCAGTTCTGTTGGCTTTTTTCAAAAAATGCCTTTTTATGAGAGAGGTCAGTGGAGAGTGGCCAAATTAGCTCAAGCTGACTGGAAGGCTACAGTAATTCAAACAACCAGAACAGCATCTCTGAACACACATGGAACCTTGAGGTGGATGGGCTACAACAGCAGTCGACCACATCAGGTTCCACTCCAGTCAGCCAAGCACAGGAATCTGAGGCTACAGTTGGCACAAACGTACTGAAACTAGACTGCTGAATCTTGATTTCTGCTTCCATAGGGTCAGAATGGTCGGCGTAAACAGCATAAATCAGTGTACCCAAGCAGACAACAGATCAAGCTACGGGTGGTTTAATGGCCCCCCTGATACCAGTCAAACAAAGCTTCAATGCCACAGCCTGAGCACTTTTGCGGACCATATGCATAACTTTATGGTCTCAATTTACACATCTTCTAATAGCTACTTCCAGCATGATAATGTGCCTTGCTGCAAAGCATGTCATCTTAAACTGGTTGCATAAACAACCATGAGTTCAGGGAACTTAAATGGCCTCCAGAGTCATGCTTTGTCCAATGTCCACTGCAGCAAATGGTTGTGAGGACATAGCTCCAAACACGACTTTCCTTCCTGTTAACAATTATTTGAAAAAATCTTTTTTCCATCACCATTTTTCACATTTCTCTGTTATCTTTAAACCAACCTTTCCACTTCACCGAGGCACATAAACATCTCTTGTTATAGCTTTTTATGCACATTTTCAAAATTTGCATAAAGGAGGTGGATGGAAAACCCTTGTCTGGAAGCACCAGCACTCATTATGTTTCTCCACTCATTTATTCAGCTTTTTTCATACAATGATCAAATCCATGATCAAATCTTCCACCAACAGTTATGGAATTCTTGTTCAACAGAATTAGGAAGTATCTGTTTATTGTAGCATGACCCTTCAGAAGAAGCTTCCATTTGAGTTGAACGGTCTACAGTAGCTATCTAGCAACTTTTAAGTTGTCTAATGTAGTGAGATCTGGTCAATTACCTTACAAAGACAGATACTACAGTACAACAGAAAAAAACACTAACACTAAACTGGTTCAACTCTGTGAGGTCTGCATTTAAAGGAAAGGCAACAAGGATAAATATGTGTTTTAGAGTTATCTGATGTTTTACTTCTTTAGCTTTCATCGATAATCATCTCATCCTCAAAAAAATAAATACATTTTCATAGTGCCTGTCACCAGCTGACTTGGCTAAGTGCCCCATAGGGATTTACAATAAATCTGAGAGAACGCAATCAAATTCTGTGCCATTTTTTCTGTCTCTATACTTGAGCCCTCTCAGTGCATTTGGTGCTGTGAGCTGGTTGAGCACACTTTGAGCATTCGAGTATGGAGATTGGAAAAACAGCTTTGATCGAAAAAAGTATTCCAAGATATGGTTCCACCCAGCACGTAATACATTACTTCCCTTGCAGCTTCTTCATTATAAGGCTGTTGGGTGGTGCGTTGGTGAAAACTGTTCCCACAAACACATGCGTCCCCCACAAGCTGTGGCGAATCACTTTGCAGCAGCCGAGGTCCTCGATTTGAAAACCCAGGTGGCGGTAGCGTTCATCTGTTTCGAAGAGTGTGTTGTTTGTGTAGGAACCGAAGAACTGCAGATAAACAAATATGAAGAAAAGAAAACAGCTTGATAACACATGGCATAACACACTGAAGCACAGTCAATACAAGACAAAGTCCTCTCAGGTAGGCCTGGGTGATAAAAACGCTAATAAGTGGGCCTCTTACAATCATGAAATTTGCCATACAAATAACTGCAATATGCAATTTAATTGTCTTTTTAGTTCATTGTATGCAAACAAATGTATGAGACTAAAATAGCCAGGTTGGCTAAAACTTTTGTTGTTCTTGTAAGATTCATGGTGTGTCCCAATGATGTGCAAGTAATTTGGTTTGCTTAAAGGGACACACTGGACAGACTAGAAAAACCCTGACACTGAGCCTTAGGAAACACACGCTGATTTTCAATTTCATATTAACGACATATCTGGCAATATCACCCAGCACTACTCTCAGAATTCACATAAGAAAGAGTTTTTACTGTGAACTTACTGCGAGCCCAGATGATGGGTCTATAAAGTCGGCCCAAAACCCCTCAGTCTGGAGGGCGAGGCAGATTTCTTCTGCCCCAGCAATGAACTGGACACAACACACCACATTACACTCATCACTGTTTCAATACATAGTAAGCTTAATAAGGCAAAGTGCATTTCAGTCAAAGGGCTATTATTACAGAAAACTTCCTTTTTCAAAAGTAAAAGCTCATGTAGTATGTAAAATAGAGACCGACCGATTATCAGCCCGTTGATAATCACTGCCGATATCCTTCCTTTTCCAATTTTTGGAACTGGCATATGAACTTGCTGCTTTGCTGATAAAAGGGCCTTTTGTAACTTATGTGCATAACTGATGTATACCACCTATCTGTTTTATATAAAATTGTGTAAATATAATATATTCGTATACATTTTTTCATTTTAAGTTTTTGAGCCCCTTTTTTGAGGTCCATTTTTCTTACATATGTCGCTATTTAAGTTATTTATTTTATCTGTTTATCATCTTAAAGATAACCTGAAATATTTACTTTTATTTTTTTCTAGCCTTTGCTGTCAAAAGCTCAAAACACTTTATTTCTTGTAATGATTAAATGTTCATTTAATATGAGTTGTGAATAACACTTGCATTCTTGTAAATTTTCAAATTACAAACATCAAATTTATGGTAAATAAATATTGGACCCAAATATTGGTTATCGGTATCCCAAAAATTGGTATCAGTATTGACCCTGAACATATCGGTCGACCCCTAACGTAAACACTGTTAAAAGTTTCAACACGGTCCATGTATGGAAAAGCTTAGCAAAAACAGCAACAAACACATTCATGTATATCTACCTTTTCAGCCTACAGCAGTTTAATCCCACCCATATAAGGTAAAGTTATAAGGAGCATTTTAAGGACTTTAGACTACTTTTTTTAGGTAGTCTACGCTGAAATTAGGTAGAGGTAATATTCATATAATAAGGGACAAATAGATGTTGAAAATGGTCATGGTAATATAAATTATGACACATGAAATCACATTAAAGTCATAAGCGCTACTGGAAAAATGTAGGACATGGCTTCTTTAAAAAAAAAAGAAAAAAAAAAAGAATGTATTAGACAACAAAAACAGAGCAATTTGTCCAGTAAGGCTTGGGTTCATGCCAATTAGAGCAAAGCTCAGCCACCACCATGTGAACCAGACAGTGAATAACGCAGAGCGCCAGGGGCACGCACTGCCTTATCACGCACCTCTCCCTCTCACACACTCTTGTTGTGTCTGCCTCATGTCTTGTTTCCTTTGAAGGGAGGGAGCCTCTACTCCTGTTTCCCAAATCACAACTTATGGTAAAGAAAACTGTAAAAAGCAGCAGTGATTGGTTGGCAATTTGTATGATGATAATGCCTGTTTTAAATTCTCCTACTGCTCTCTTATACAGTACGAAACAGAGCCTGAGAGACACACCCACTCAAATGCTACACAGTTCTTATTTATTTATTATTTATTTATTTTACATTTGTCTATAAAAAAAAATCTTATTTTTATACAATTTTATGCAAAAGTTCCTGGTCAAATTACATGTTTTGTCGATTTTCTAAGTGAAAATAATCTTAGATTTCCTGTACACAGAACACTTTAACAATGCATGTTAATACAAATGTTAGTGCACAATTTCTATTTATTTTATTTGAGTTTTTTGGAACAAAATAAATAAACAAATTAAAAGTGCCATAACTTTTGCACAGTCCACATTTTATGTTTTTTTTTCAGTATGTTAAATTCAGCAAATAAACGGTAATTGTGCACTAAAATGTGCCTAAGTGTCTCCTGTAGAGGATGTGTTAACTTATTTATACTCAGAAAATCAACGTCATTTGACGAGGGGCACTAACATTTTTGCACAAGACCATATTATCGTGGAATCTTTAAAGGCTTTGCATGGTTCATTGTAAAGCTATGTTTACAGCTCTCTTTAGTTTGTAAGTATAGCATTTCCATAGTTTGACCTTTCAAAATAACTCTAATCACTTGATTAATCATGAAAACAGAAAAAAATCAGTTGATTATTAATGCAATCAACAGTGATACACCTAAAGCCTGGACACGCTTCTACTGAACAAATCTGAGACTTCTTATAAATTACTGACCTTATTTACTTTGCTGCCAGACAAAACAATGTCAAGCACAGCCTTAGGATGAAATATAATAATACAGACTCAACACACTAGTCTTCGTTAGGGGTTCTCTCTTAAATATCTTGTATATAAACACATAAAAGAATGGTTTTGGAATCTAAAGAATGGGCCCGTCTCACCAAAGTGGTGTGAAACAGAGTCTTCTTACTCACACAAACCCCAAACTCTGCACGTTTTCTGTTATATCAGGTCATAACTTTTCTCTGTGCATAATAAATAAAAAAAGGTTATAAACTTACAGCCCATTTAAAAGTAATCCCCACCTGGTGAAAGTTTTATGTACGTTTTGGACAGAAGGGTAGATCACTTTTTGGCCTATGCATTAGCCCAGGATGAGTTCTACACAATGTCTGATACTGTTTATCATCCTAACTGAAATCATTACAGAGGCTCAGCTCTGAATTCAATGCAAATGCATATTTGATAACATTCCCTTCAGTCCTTTGCCATTTTTCCCACCATAATAAAAATACAATTTTCTTTAAACAAACCTTAGAGCAGGAAGAAATGATCCATTTAGCAGCTTCGCTAGTTTAACTACTGAGGAAAAATCATGTTACTCACTTTAGCCAGTAGCTCCTCTCTCTCCTGGTCCACCTTCTCTGACCAAGCGGTCATATCGTTCTCTGTTTTCTGAGTTACGGTGACCACCATCATGCCGCTGGAGGGGGCCTCAGGGAACATCAACTCAAAGTCTGATTTGAAATATTCAACAAATAAATTAAATTAATAAACTTTGATATTTGTCAGCTCTGTAAATACAACAGACACTAATAGTGCCACTATTATCCTACGCGTGTCATCAATGTTTTTATATGTAATGTTGATAATGGTAAAAACAACAGATAAATAGATTAAAAAAATAAAATAAAATGAAACAATCAATCCATCAATCTTTGGAAATGATTTTGCCTTACGCTTCCCTGAATGTAATGTGGACAATTCTTGATGATTGGTTTTTTTGGTTCCGCCACTGTGATTCTGACTTGATAAGTTTATCTACATCAAACCATAACTTTCTTTATATTTTACATAATTACCATTTAATTATGCAGAAATACAACAAATAAAAAAATTCTAGAGAAACTAACTGACTCTAATTATCTTTCCAGTGGTGGTGTTAGGAACCAGAGGTCATGATGTCTACAACACAAATATAGCCATTTTATTTACTATCTAAAATGATCAGTGAACCTAAAAGCGTCTTTTATATACGTAACATTGACGATGAAAAAAAAAAAATTTCCTTGGGTATTATTTTGCCTTCCAACACCTTGCATGTACCTTTCCACCATGAATAGATATAAAAAAAACAGCTTTAGGCCAAAACTTGATCTCAAACGATCATAAAACAAAGTCTAAGGCATCAGTCAATGTATTTGTATTATATTTAATGTAACACATTTCTGTGACGTAACTTTTTGAGATATTAAATGCTTCAGATATCTGGTTCCTATCACCACCAACTCAGCAAGTTTCTCTAGAACAGAGCATTTCACATCAAATCACTCTAACTGACTTACACCTTAACCATGTAATTATGCAAAAAAGGCCCCATAAAGATCTGTAGAGCTGCCTGTTTACAGAGCTTATGCTACCACCTAGTGGCCACCATTGAAACTACAACATTCACATTCCCCTAACACAGAACCTTTCCCTGTTCCAATCTAAATTTGGGTCAACAGTATGCACTGTATGCGCTTAGGAATTAATAACAGCTATTTAATGGTCATCATCAGCCATTTGTAATTGATTAAGCACCACAAACACACCTTTCTTAAGCAGTTCTGGGCAGGACTGTATCGCGCATTCCACTTTAGAATGGTCAAAATACTGCTCCACACTGCTGACACTCTGTGATGAAGCCTCATCTTTCCCCTGTGGATAAAGAACAGCATAACAGAGATATGCGATGATATATAAACAATACATTCAGTAATTTCATTTTATGGTGTTCCAACATCAACAAAACACTGATCAAAGTGCAAAACAACTGCCTACAAACAATAGTATCCAATATTATATTGACTACCCATCGCATGCAAAAAGACCACAAAATACAACGAACTATTATTATGTGGGATTTGCATGGTAAAAATGGGATTTTTGGACTAATGGCAAGTTCTTCCTTATCAACTTAATTGTTTTCAGTAAATATGCACTCATTCTGAAATTGTTTGCCGGCATGTTCCAAAAAAGTTTGTGAAAAGTACCAATTTAAGACAAGGAATACTGCAAAATGTTCAAAAATATCTTCAACGGGTGATGCAATCATGCCTGGGTATAAAAGGATCATCAAAGAAAGGTCAATTGTTGTCTTCAGTCCAAACAATTATTGTGTAATTAAAAGGAAAAGTGATGCAACACAGTGGTAAACATGCTGCCGTCCCAACATTTTGGAATGTGTTACATCAAATTTGAAAGGAGCATATATTTATGAAAAAACCATAAAGTATCACGTTTTTGTACTGTTTTCAATTTAGTTCAGGTTAAACAGAATGTACTAATCACTGCTTTCTATTTCTATTACAACTTCACATACTGTACCAACTTAGTTTCACTAAGTATTCCTGATCTTTTGACTGGTACTGTAGGTTAAAATTCTTTATGTGAATATGGACTGAGTTCAACCTAAAATCCTTACATGGAACTCGCCGACAAACTGAGCCAGGACAAACTCATGCCTCTCGCTGCTGGACTGTGCTGTGAGCACATCTGGTACCGTCCTGTGGACAGTGGTGGTCTTCTGCTGTGCTATGCCCTCTAGATGGCAGGCAAAACCTGCGTTCCCGGGCAGCTGGAAGCGCTTGTCCTGAGGTCCAAATGGGCCCATGGTCTCATCTGGCCATACAGTTCTTGGACCTGTTAAGGATAAATGCTGATCGTGAAATGAAATGCTGATCTCAATATGAAAACGTGGTGATGGTTTTGCAATTTGTGTAATGCAATGGGTGATTAATGATATTGCAAAACCATCATCACATTTTCATATTGAAAGTCTTGTCCATTTTTTCGGCTGTTTTCACATGTAGTATCGCTTTTTCTGTTTGTTTTGGTTCATTTCACATTCCAATGGTTAAAGTGCTCCAAATTATACACATTTGGTGGGATATCAGCACTCAGTCACTTTCATGTTTGCCTCCATTAGTGCCAAAAGATCAGCCTTTTTAAACATTTATATACATCCATATCTATTCTTTAAATATAGTATTGGTATAACTGCATCATATAATTGTGTACAGAAATGAACTAAACCAGACTTCATTTGTTAGAGGATTAAAACATGTCAAACAGCTAGAGCTCATTTTTGTTATCTCACAGCACATTTGAGAATCGGTGAAAAGCGGACTCACCCATATCAGGGGGTGTGATGTTGAGATGAGGCTCGTCGGAGCCGGACGCTCCAGAGAAAGATCGGGCTGCTGTGATGCGCCGCACCAGAACATGAAGCCCTGGCAGGTACGTAACCAGCCTGACTCTGCTACAGAGCACCTAGTGAACAAAGCAGCATGAAGTGGTTGGTATAGCGTGGTTGGTATAGCGTAAAACACTGCTGCCCTCCAAGCTGCTGACTGGGGTTCGATTCCTCACTTGAGCAAGAAACCTACACTATACCAATAAGAGTCCTTGGGCAAGACTCCTAACTTTACCTTTGTAAAATATTATCAAATTGTAGGTTGCTCTGGATAAGAGTGTCTGCCAAATGCCATAAATGAATGTGGCATATGTATCAAGGTGCAGCAACACTATTTTTTTAATTTTTCAATGCTTTTCAATACCTTTTTAAGACCTCAACATAGCAAAAATAATACAATTTCCACATACACTCAAATATGTCATATAAATGTCTATTTTATTCAAATTAATTGGCTGTAAAAGCACAGATACAAACTCTGAGATAGCATAAGTCGTACACCGTCTTTTCAGTGTGTTTGACTTCAGTTTTGCCATCCTCTAGTCAATTGTAAGTGGTCAGTTTCTGGTCACAGTATCAATGTCAGCTAAACTGTTCTGGTTGCTGGACTATTCTGAATTAGTGTAACATACAAAAAGACCTGTTCTTTAGGATTTGTCTTAGAATTTAATTAGGAGTGCCAACCTGGTCACCAACCCTGGTCCTGGTCCTTCCTGCCTAGTCTAGTTTCAACCACAATCTGCCAAACCTGCTCCAGCTAATTAACTACTTCAGATGTTTTTGACTTGCTGGATCCATTCCATTAGTTAGCTGATCCATGTTGGAACAAAACAAACATAGATCTTAAGGGGGAGGGTTGGTGACCACTGATGTAAACTGCACAAGGGCACTTTGACTTACATTGGTCATCCTGTTGGGCTTCTCTTGTTTGCAGTCCACCTGCAGATGTAATAACAACTTCATTAATAATGATTGATGGTTCATCCAAACAGAAAACTCTCCGGTAAAAAGCACTGTGCATCATTTAGCACTAAAAATGCAAACGTACAGAAGGGCAAAACATAGCAGGGGAACTTGGGAGCCGAAGATTTTAGACCAGTGTTTTGCATCACTAGCTAACGATCACATCCATCTGGAGCTGAATCAGGAAAACATGAAACCAGGGGTCAAACTCAGGTCCTGGGGGGGAAGCAGGGGTTCTCAGTTAACCAGATAAAGGATTCATATCCAACATTTTTCTTGTATTTTATTTTACCTAATGAGGTCCACTTATGACATTTGTGTGGGTTTATGTACAGAAAACAGTCAATTTCTACACGACCGTTTTCCAACCTCTCCTTTATCTCTTAGAAATTAAACAGGCTGTTTTTGTTACTGAGCCTTTTAGACTGATGAGCTTGGTTCTGACTGGCTGTTCTGTATTGCGCTTCAGTCAGAAAGCACTCAGAGCCAAAACACTTCAGTGTAAGCTGGCACGGCTAAACTGCTGTAGGCTGAACAGGTGGATAGATGCAAACGGGTTGGTTCTCGTGACACTGCAGAAACGGTAAATTCAAAATGTGGCTGGTTTCACAGCTTGGTTTTCATATGTGGACTGAATGGTATGTTCTGAACCTTTAACAATATTTACATATTAATTCATACTCCTTTATGTCATTTTCTATGATATGGGCCCTTTAAGCCAAAAGCTGTGCCTGTCCAACAGGAGAAGAGATCTAGAACAGTCCTGCTGTTTTTTGCAACTTAAGTTGTTGGCGGTGGGAATCCATGGCAGAATTTAACCTCTTTCATAGCTCTATCACTTAGTTAGTCAGATAAAGCAATGCTTTTGAATGAACCACCTTCAAAGATTGTAGAGAGATTGCTGTTAAAGATTCTGCAGACTAGCAAGTTAAATCCAGAAGACACGGCTGGCTAAAACAAGCTGCGGCTCATGAGACTAAAGGTCAGAAGCTCCTTTGAACGTTTCCTTTTTTGCCCATAAATGTTCCCTAGTAGATTTTCCAGGCTGGTGTAATGTGTGAATTAGAGTTGAAGCTGAAATGCTGGGAAAGCTGATCTGTCTAGTTGCACACAGCAGGATCTCTCAGTAAAGCTGGGGTTACACTACATGACTTTTAGCCCAATTTTAGCCCAGATTCACAGTCTGGCTAAGTCTGTGCTAGTTGGCCCTAGGCTGCAAGGTTTTGGGTCAGTCGGAGTCGACAGCTGGAGAGAGAATCAAGTAGTGTGCGAGGGGCATTTTTGGCCTCCCGGTCGCAGTTCAGACCAGAAGGAGTTGATCAAACGTTTGATTTTTCTCGACCCCATTCTGAGCATTATCTAGTAGTGTAAAGTGATCAAGGACTCAATCTGACGGATTCCTGCAACAGCCAATGAAAAGTGAGAGCGCGAAAGAAGAAAATACAGCAAGTAAGCAAAGAAAAATCGCAAAAAGTCGCTCACATGTGGAGCAAAGCTTTTTAATGAGCTGAGCTTGACGCATGAGCACAATTGAGTTTATGTACATTTCAAGCTCTAAAAATACGACACTTATTTACGATCACATTTTAAATGAATGAGCCTCAATTAAACGTTTACCTGCTGTTTCTTTACTGCATCAGTGCAAACGGCAGAGAAAACAACAGCAGCAGCCCCACGTTTGTTTATCAGAGTCTCCGAATAACTGGAGAATGCGTCAGTTCAGTGAGCTCCATTTGGTTCAGTAGCAGCTTAAAAGTTGAGTAGTGTGTGATCACTAAGCTTTAGTCTGTGGTCCCCAATATTTCAGTCGCCCAAAACAGTCGATAGGATAAGATGCCCAGTCTTTTTATAATCTGTTGAGACTTTAAAAGTCATGTAGTGAACCCAAGGTGATAACTTAAGCCAAACCCCGTCCAATAAGAGCAGGGGAAGTCCTGATTTTGGGATTACAGAGAAATCCTGCTGAGATACAGTTCGGTTATACTAACCCAAAGTTGCTCACAAAGCCCCCTGAATCCTACAAATAAATGCAACTAGTTAAACTAGTTGAGCAATACGTTACTTTGTTGCTGTCTTTCGAACTGACACAGCAGTAAAACAACATGAAACGACGCATTTATCACACACACACACATCTTCTAAGCCGCTTCTCCTTCTGGGTCGCGGGGGGTGCTGGAGCCTATCCCAGCTGTCATCGGGCGGAAGGCAGGATACACTCTGGACAGGTCGCCAGTCCTTCGCAGGGCAGACAGACAGACATACACACACAGGGGCAATTTAGCAGGTCCAATCAGCTTAACTGCATGTCTTTGGACTGTGGGAGGAAACCGGAGTACCCGGAGGAAACCCAAGCGGACACAGGGAGAACATGCAAACTCCACACAGAAAGGACCCCAGTCGCCCGGCTGGGGAATCGAACCCAGGCCTTCTTGAACCAAACCCATTTCCCTCTTCGGAAATCTGATATATGGCTATATATGCACATACATCATAAAGATAAGTATAAAATATACGTGCACGTCATGTACATATATATCGAAGTATTAAATACTGGACACATGCATAATTTATGGATCATACATATATGTCTGATACATGGTTGAATGCATCCCAGCAGAGTTATAATTGTTACTATGTTATCTGTTTCCTTTAATAGACTAAATTATGTAAATGGGTCAGGGAACAATATTTTCATTAATTTCATGTTCTGACGCTTTCATTGCACAACTTACAACGTACATAAAATTAGAGTTTAGATCTGCACCTATTCCACTGTTTTCCACTTCATTAGGAAGTATGTGGAAAACACAAAGAAGGCACATAAGAAAACCATATTATATAATATGAAGCTGGCACATATGAGTAATATTTGCCATCCATTTATGAAATGTTTTCTGTCATATACTGTTAATGTGTTACACATATATATTTGTATATGTTGACATATGGCTGAAATCATGTCCCATATTTAATAATGGCCAATAATACTGGCATGTACGTCACAGATGTGTCCATATCTGACAAAGATAAGTTGTATATATATGCCTTATTAAAAAAATAAGCAGGATGTCACCTTAGGGGCTCCATACGAATAAGAAGCTATCGTCAGCTTTTGGTTCTGTCCCGGTGAAATGGGAACCAAACCCACAGACCCTCCAGTCAGAACCCAAGAACCTAGCCAGGCAGCTCTCTCTGACAGGACAGCGTGCTGAGGCGACTGAAGTAGAGCTTTACGGATTTATTATAGAAGAATATAACCGTGTTTGGAGCGGAAGACGTGCACTCACTCACTGACACTGCGACTGGTGAGATCTGCGTTTGCACAGCGTAAACAGTGGGGTAACTTCAGCTGCCATGCTGCTGTTAGCTAACTAGCACATTAGCAAAGGTTACAGCTCAGCACCCACACTGCCTCAGTAACATCCGCCACAGGCAGCCAGAGCCTCCGTTCATCTTCTCCACACCGCCCAATGCCTTCACTCTACCCGTACTTCAGCTTTATACTCACCTGGATTTATCCTGCTTGAGTTTAACTGATTTATAAACTCCCCGTCTTCTGCGCGCTCCTCTTATTTAACCTTCTGACGGAACTACGGAAGCCGTCACGGGACAAAAACCGAGACGAATTTCATCGGTAGGCGTTGCTCCCAGTTCTACTGTAGTTATAACATTTTTATTACACTCTTAAAAACGGTTAAGAACAATCAGTTCTATATAGAACCTTTTTGAAATGGTTTTATATAGCATCAAATGGGGTTCTGCTATTGTTACAATGTCAAGAACTCTTTTTGGTGCTGTATAGAACCATTTTCAAAAAGATTCTATATAGAACCATATAAAACGCATTCTACATGATTTGCCCATGCAAAAAAAACCCAAAAAAAACAAAAAAACAAAAAGATTTAAGCATGCTCACTTCACTAAAGAACCTTTGAAGAACCATCATTTTTAAGAGTGTATAATCCACCCACAGTCTTGCTTATTTCCTGTTTGGTCACTATAAGCTACAGCTTACAGAAATCTGATATATGGCTATATAAGCACATACATCATAAAGAGTCTGGCTTTTTTGTTTAATATATGTGCATATGTGTCACGTATATATATTGTATATGTATTAAATATTGGACACATACACAATGTATGGATCATATGCATCGTCACTGTCCAAAGAAAAACAAGTATCTCCAAAATAGTAACTTTACAGGAGAGGGCAAAAACGTTTACTTTCAATGTAAGATGATGGAATACAATATTAATACTTATATATATATATATATATATACACAAACTTACATACATATAGGTATTAATATTGTATATATGTAACTACTTAATATCTGTTGCACATCACTAGTGACTGTTTCGGTAGTGACAATTTTAGCTAATTTTGAGCAGAACTCAACAATGCTAGCCAGAACATGACAAGCGAACACAGCTTTGAACAGTTATTTTTCATTAAAACACACAAAAAAAAGTTTAATTGCAGAAAATGTGTTTTGGTACTGACAATTCTTAAAGTTACACACCGATTGTCAGACTCTGGGACATATTTAAAAAAAAGAGAGATCTAACCTCACCATGTGGCCGTGAGGGACAGGGATGCAGTCTCACCTCCTGCTCTAAAATGGAGGGGCGTGGCTAAAATAAGACTCCACCCATGGACTAAAACTCTTTAGCCATGTCTCAAAGCCAAGGATGCAGGCGAGGTAGGAGAGACCCTCCTAGCGCCGGTATACGAAGGCTCCTCTTTGGTGTCACAGCTTACTGACATAAACAACACAACACATTCAAATCTCAAAGTTTCTCACAGACAAAAGACGCATTTCTCAGCTGCATTTAAAGGACCCTAAAAACAGCCTTCAGTGAGATAATGGCTGAGAAATGGATCCTTCCTCTACTGCATCCTTAGCTTTGTAGCTGTTGCGTTTCGATTAATTACATGAAAATGCGGGACAGCAATTCCTGAATAAAGTTTCTTTTTATTAAAAAATTAAACTCATTGTTCAGCTTAACTTTTTGTAAAGAATCTTTTTAAATCTTAAAAAAAGGAAAAAAAAAAAGAGAATTGTCATCACAAGAGTAAATTTTGGGGTTAGGGTTTGGGACAGACACCTCCCAACAGAAGGCACCCTATAAAAGATGATTTTGTATATATTTAGCTTATTACAATCTCAATTAATGCCTTAGGTTTAAACAGATCATGACCCAATCCATGTAAAAATCTAAGATCTGAATTGTTGTTTAAATGTTTCAAATTTTTTTTTATTGAAACAGTTTGAACTAATTCCGAAGGAATGGTCCAATGATCAGAAATTCCGAGAAGAATTTACAAATCATAGTTCTTTGACGGGATAAAAAAGGAAAAAAATCTGGCCTTTTCTTCACTTCACACTTTACTGCATACAACTGATACAGCAGCCCAATCGCTATGTAGTCACAGACTGAACTTCAAACAAGAGCACGAGAACCGTAAGACGATTTTTCTCAAATGTGACCACATTTTTGAAATGTGGCCAAGCTTCTCTGGCATCACCTTGGCATACTTAAAAATGCTTTCATATAACTCTTAAAATAAAAGAATAAAAGCTTGAAAAAAATTAAAAGGCTAAAAAAAGATGAAGCACTCTTGTCCAGTGTAAACGTTCCATACGCCGTGGCACGTGTCTCCTCTCCCGTGTAAGGGCACTTTCTTTCTTGCGGCTCAAAGTTCTCCAGCATGGGTCTCTCTTTTGTCCTCTGGTGGTTCCTCTCCTTTGAACTCCACAAGTATCAAGTTGGTCACTGTAATAACAGCAGAACATGCAGTATTTCCCATACCTTTCAACAGAAAGAGCAGATACATGCATTAGTATGTAGCAGCAAACTAACGCTTTCTTCCTAGTGCTTGCTTAGATCAGAAGCAGACCTAACCTGCAATTTTTTGGCCTAAAGCTTTCATAGTCTGAACTGTTATAAGGAACTTTTAAAATTTAAAAATGTCCAAAGTATGCAATATTTTTGCCCAATATGAACTGAAAAAGCTTTCAGTTACACTAAAATTTTAAATTTTAAAATTTGTGATGTTCAAAAGTTTGGAATCACCTTTTTTAAAAATATAAGATGAATTTTGCTGCAGATACATGCATAAAATGGTTATGATGCTAATCTTCAATAGGTCTTCATATTCTATGCTTTGTAGAAAGCTGTTACATTTTCAATAATAAACAGATGATGGCATAATAACTGAGAAAGCTTTATAGCATCCAGAATTGACTTGCAATAAAGGTAATATCCAGAATGGCTTACGTGTGAAAGGCACTGAGCAAATCGTTCTGAATAAACAGCTGTTTATAACTAGAAGGGGAACGTTTCTGCACAAATTTTAATGCTAATGTTAATGCTAATGTGAGTGCACACACATTATATATCGCTGCTGTTGGGACAAAACCTCTTATCTCCATTTTTGGCGTTTTTCAGTTTTTACATAATTTGAAAATGCCTGTTGCCCTTTACATTGTGTATAAATTTCATCATTAATGGACCAAAAGAAATGTCCAAAATGATTTGGAAAAAGTCTGGTTCCATTGACTTACATTGAAAGTAAAGAGGGTTTTTTTCTTCTACTGTAAAGTTACCATTTTGGAGATACAAGGTTTTGTCCTCAAGCCCATTTAATTTTGTGACAAGAAGTTTCTATAGATAATTATAGTTTATTATTTACAAACATTTGCTATTGTTTTACCATGTCATAACTTTTTGTAGTTACTGAAATACTTTAAACTGTGAATAAACCACTGGTTCACTATATATTAACTATTATTAAGTGGCTCCAAACTTTTGAACGGTAGTGTAAATAAACTCCTGATGAATCACAATGGCACTTCTTTTTGAGAATGTAAATAGACTCTTTACTATCCATAACTGGCGCCACAATACTATGATACTATCCTGCATTTGAGATTTGATGCCACCATGTACACAGAACAACAGTGGTAGCTTCAAAAGGCCTACCTGCAAAAACATCACGGAGAAGCTCCGACGTGTCTATTCAGAATGCTGCATCTCCAGCATGTCCTCAAGATCCATGACTTTTGTCTCTATATCATCTATCATTTCTTCTGAGTTGGTAACTACAGCATTTTTGCGCCAACAGGGACGTTCCTGAAAGACCCACCACATGGATAAATGTTGATGGACGCAGCTCTGGTGCTCTTCCTTTGCGCCTGTGCACTGGCACTGCCATTTACCAAACTTGGTGTCCAGTGTGACGAGTGTTCTTCCAAACTGACACCAGGTGTCGGTCTGGCCGGCATAAACGGAGAAGTAGATGTATCTCTCAGAGGGTCCAAATTCCTCCCAAAAAACAGGAAATACACAGTCGACTTCCTCTAAACATGCCCTTGCATGCAATGCCATACATTCCTGTTGCCTTGTTTTAGAAACGATTCCTTTTTCAGCCATCTCCTCCAGCGAGGCATTGCACAGTGGTGGAGGAGGACTGTAGCACCGGGCGTTCCTCGTCCTCTCCAGGTGATAGCACTCCTTCCCAGGATTTCCACTTTGGGCAGCCATCTTCATGAAATCCCTGCACGACTCCAATTCACAAACGAAACTCTGTGAAACAAGAGACTTACATATATGTATCGGAAACTTTGTTCCTTGAGGATCCTTCGGCGTCACGTATAACCCGTTCTTTGCGTCTACGCAAACCATGGGTTGTTCCTGTCTGCAGTTCTGCTGCCTCTTGTGTCTCCTCAGATTAGATGGGTTTGCGAATAGAGAATCACATTTCTGGCACGACGTTCTGTAATCTTCAACTGCATCGCTGACACACGAAGTACCCACGCTAGCAGCTTCTCCATCTATGAGGAACATAGTTTAGGTAGTAAATTCATCATTATGACATACAACAAGTTGTTTTTGAAATAGGAGAAGAAGAAGAAATTATGTACTGACCCACAGGCTTGTCTGTCAGCAAAACACCTACAATTGCAAAAAAAGCAAAAAACAAAAACAAACAATGTGAATGAGAGTATGAAGGCAACAGCATCTTATAAGATTCTCTTGGTCATTTTTAGAGTTTGAATGTACAGAAGCATTCGTCCCTTTTTCTCTAAATCTTTGTAGACCATAATTTTCATTATTATATCACCATTATTATTTCATTATTATATACAAGTTAATCCACTTGCATAAGAAAATGAAAAACAGGAACTTCCAAAATTCCAAAAAGTGAAAATGGGACTTGCAAGACCTCATAGACACCAAAACTGTCCCCATCAGACAAACAGTACTTAAAGCTTTCATCTTTGAGAGAGAGGAGAAAATCAAGCTGCTTCAGATCTGAAAACATCCACAGGTGTTTCTGTCCATCCTTCCACTGTGAGAAGGCAACTCAGCACTATGGGTCTGAAAGGATGTGTAGCTGTGAAGAAGCCCTTACTGAGAAAAGGCAATGGACAAAAAAGAGTCCAGACCTCAACATCATTAAATGTGTTTGGGATTATTTGGACGGCGAGAAGCAGAAAATGCTAACCAACTTCTAAGACTGAACTTTAGAATATGTAGAAAAATACCTGCAGATTTCTTTGAAAAATAAGTCTGAAAAGCATGAAAGCTGTAATACAAAGAATGGGCACACTAAATACTGATAATATACTTAATAAAAAATGATAATATACTTAGTGTTTGAGGCTTCGGTATAATTTTCTGTAAAATATATGTTTTCAGCTTTTTTCTGATGCTGAAAGACGAGTAACCTGCACTTAACGGCCATTTTGACTGAAACTGCACAATACTGTACACTTTTTGGTCACTTTATATATCATATAGGTGCAGTTTGTTGGTTTACAGTTACAGACCGTAGTCCACCTGTTACTGCACAGTTTATCAACCCCATCTGTCAGTGGAAAAAGGCCACCATAGGACTAAAAACCTGTATCAGTTCCACACACAGTAGTAACAGATGGGCTACATTAAGTAACTATAAACCTAGAAAGTACAAAGGCCAAAGCATGTGTAATAAAAACAGCACTCTTTTAATTTGCAATATAAAACAACCAATTTTTCAGTCCTTCACTGCTAGCCTATGACATTTTTGATGAAAAAACAAATATTTAAATGAATAAACGCTAAACCAACCGTGGTTAGTGAGGTGCAGTCTGAAATCCGCAGTCCTCTGTATTATTTTTGTGCACTTAGTACAATGCCAGTGGCTCCTTTTGCCACGTCTCTCGTCGGGGCAGTAGCAGGGTATTGAGAACTTGCCTGCAGGGTAAAATGAATGTTATTAAACATATGCTTTTAATGGGACAACAGGTGCAGACACTTAACATTTCATTCAGATTTCAGACTACTTACCAGTACCACCTTCAGCAAAATGTATGGCATATCTCAGATGGTGTGTGGACAAATGATGATGAGATGTTGCGACTGGTTTTGTGCAGTACGGACAGTCAACGTCGCCTATAAGGCTGAAAAGCTCCTCTTTACTGGAAAACTCAAATTTTTTCTCTGTAAATGTAATATGCAGAAAGTACAATCAGATAACAACACACAAGGTTCTCTGCGATTATTGACACACTGTAAATGTTAATGTATAAATCAGTTGTCTAGATGTCAACAAAGTCATTCAGAGTGGTTGGATGTGAAACCACAGTGCACTGGAGAGAAACACCACCTTGGATTTCTTTACCATGGAGATGATAGTAACCAGAGGTAAAAATGTCTAACACAGCCGTTACACAAACATAGCTATTATTTTTGCCAAAAAGACCAGTGAGCATGTTTGTGTCTTATGAATTTTTAAATATAAAGCTCATTATGATGAAATATGACAGTAAACCTGAACCCCGAAGTTTTCTTTGGGTACTACTTTGCCTTAGACCTCCCTACATGCATCTCTCTGCCATGAATGGATTTGGGGAAAAAATACATTTTAAGGCTAAAATCTTCTCAAAACTACTGTAAAACAACGAGTGTGTTTACATGGACTCAATAATCTGATAATAATCAGATTTCTGCAGTTATCTGATATTCAAATGGTCATGTAAACAGCACACTCTGATTTTATAGATCAGAGAAAGGTCTAGAAATCTGATGAACAACTCTGATAAAGAGAGCTGGATATTACACGCGCTGCATGTAAACTCTTACTTGGATTTCTTTCGGATTTCTCAGTCTGTGCATGTGCGGAACAGACCGCGGTACCAGAAATAAACAAGCAGCATATCTTTTGAAGTTTGAGTTTTTTGTTACGTTTACGTCACGCCTTCTTCTTTGAGTTTATTGGCCGGTTGCAAAGCAGAAATCTGATTACTGATCGACTCATGCAGACCCAGAGTTTCCCCATTATCTGATTACTCAAGTGTAAACGCGTTGGTCGCACTACTGACAAAATCTGATTTTCTGCAGTTATCAGATTATTAAGTGCATGTAAACACACTCAATGCCTCATACGTCAGGCAGCATATTCATAACCATATAATAACTTTCTGTGAGGGAGCTTTTAGAGGTGGACGTCTGGTTCCCATCACCACCACTGTGAACAATTCTGACTCTAGAATGGTGCTCTTCACATCAAACCACTCTGAATGACTTTGTTTACACCTTAATGATTTAATTATGCAGAAATTTAAAAAAATGAATGGGATTCCCCTTTATGCTCAGTGTACAGAAACAGCTGGTTTCACAGCAAGTTCTTTTCATAACAATGACAGGCCACCCCAAGTGCAAATGCAATGCAATATTTGAACAAGCAACAAGGCTTTGACCAGATTAAAGTTCAGGTAGAACTTGGTATTGTTTCAGGTTTTCAGAGTTAATATGTACCAAAAAAGTGGATTTTTTGACAACACTACATCAGAGTGGCCAGCAGTAATTTCTTTAAAATAATTTTGGTGGGTTCGAGCCAGTTAGGCAGGCAAAGCTGTCACATTCAGGGCTGTTTCTGATAATTTGGGGGTCCTAATAAAAATCCCACAGGGAGGGCGGGGGGCCCATTGTATTATTTTGTATGCAAGAAGAAATACTAGAGAGCACGTCAGCATGGATGAGTATCATATCATATCAGGCAGACACTGGCAGAAAATACTGGATCAGATATCAGTGGGGAAAACGAATATGAATCTGATCCAATCCTGTAGCAAATCTATCTTCCTGTGGGGTTAACAGTGTTTGTCAGCATGATAGCCAACTTTTAGATGTTTGTCTTAAGTAAAGCGCTTGAATTAAAAGTAGCTCACTTTAAAACACTGAATAAGAAATATTGGATCAGTACTGATCCAACAGGATCAGATACTCAAAGTTTACTGGAAAAGAAAAAGTGATATTGTGCCATCTCTAGAATTACGTTTTATAAGTTTAATTAATGCTAGAGAAACGTGATAAAACAATGATTAGTGATATACATAATCTTTAAACAACAAATTTGTCTCTTTAAATGAATAATACAGTACTGTGTAAATGTTAGAGACCATCCTTCATTTAATTCATGTCCAGCGAAAATGGCCATTAAGTTCAACATAGTATACGTCATTACATATTAACGTCACATGCACAGACTCAAAAAGAAGGTGCGGCTCGATGCTTTCAAATTCAAAATCAGCATTACACTGATGAATATTACACTGATGACGATGACAATATTTGATCGTTCGCTTTCATCCTCAGAAGAAACGTCATGCACCAAGTTTTGACTGAGTTCTCTTTGAATACTCTTTCAACCTGCTTGCAATCATCAGATTCATCCACTCATGGGGGTCCGATGCACAACCGATGACACAATGTTCCTCTATACATTACATGCAATTACACATTTCCACCAGAGAGGTCTCCAAATCCCCAAATGTTACATTAAAGTGCTGCTTTAAGTGCTGTTTATCTGATGGGGACAGTGTTGGTGTCTACCAGGTCTCGCAGATGGTTGTTAGGAGTCCAAATTTCCTCTGCAGCTTTTAATCATTTTTGGAAACTCCTGATTTTTCACTTTGACCCACTCCTTCCTTATGCAAGTCAATAATCATATATCTCCTCAGAAATATCCTCTGAGAAATGTGTATTTAATGGCTATTTTGATTGGAAATGGAATTAAGGGTGGTCTCTGACTTTTGCACAGTCCTGTACATTAAGTAAACTGCAATATGTGCATCATTTCTGCTTTATTAATTTTTGAGTCATCAGTGATGTCTTGGTTAGATTTTTTCTGTCAGTATCACAATTGTGACCTAAGCTAAGTATATGTCTTATTCTGGTTCATAATTAATAAGTTTCAAGCTTTTTAGGGATCTCTGTTAGTCTAAGAAATGAACTTTGCCTACCTGCCATGATTAATTTCAGGTACGTGATGCCTAAAACAAAAACAAACAAACAAATCTTCATCAACATATTCCACACTCTTACTGCACCAATACATTAATCATAAAACTTGCACAGTTCAATCTGTTCCATTGAGGGATTCATTAAAAACGCTAATAATAATTAGCTATGTTAGCTGCTAGCTCTGTTAGTAACAACAAACCAAGCTGAAGTCAGCTTCTTGTTCGAACTTTCCCGGTCCACCTTAAATGGTGCAGAAGTTACACTCTGGCGCCTCAGGTTTCATAATAACTGCGGCACCACTTAAGGTGGAATAAGCGGCGCCAGAATGTAACTGCTGCACCATTTAAGGTGGAGCGGGAGAATTCGAACAAGAAGCTGGCGAACAGGCTATATACTTCGCTTTTTGCATTTGTAGCCTGCAAGATATTCTTTTAAAGTATCCAGGACTGAACTGTGAGGCGAGGAGGAGAATAAATAAGCTAAATAAAGAGTTTAAAAAGTTGAATTAACGTTATGAGCGGTGTGCTGAGTCGCTCACTCACTGCTGCTCCGAGAGTCCGGTAAGAACCCTTCACCCAGGCTTACTCAGCAACAGTATAACTGTTTGGTTCACCCACCATTATTTTATCTGCCTTTTTACCTCTATTTCTGTGAAATAATCTCAGTAAATGAAGGATATCCAGCTCCGCTATTCCGCCACAAACGCGCTCTCTCCGGGCACTCGAGAAAACGTCCCTACGATAAAATGATTCCGACCTGAATCGCTGCAGCGGCTGCACAGTTCCTACTCGCTCTACCACAGAAATGGTCTGCTGTACATTCGGGCTGCTTCCAAAACCACACAGAACATGACAACATAGTGAAATATAAAAAATAATGAGTACACAACTAGCAGTACATTCGTTGGTGTAGTATGCGTAGTATGTAAAAGCATTGTACGTTATATGTGGTTTAGGACGCAGGTTAGTTCTCATTCACAAATAGTCAGGGATGGGGGAAGATGTTTTATGCTGGGGTGCTATTTTTTTCAACAGTTACTCATAACAACAACACACGTCACTACTACACAAAATGTGTAAATTAACATCAGCAAAATATTCTAAAACAACAGAAAGTGAAATACAATAAAGAAATAAATAAAATAAAAGAGTACATAATAATAAATAACAATAACAAAAAATCATTTCATAATGACAATCAGACATCCTGCTGAAAAAGGACCATGAGAAACAATTAGGATTAAAACCTAATGGCTTTGCTTTCTATTGGGAATTGTCTTAGTGGTTTCAAATAAAGACCTCTACTTTCCCATAGAACACCATATGTCCCATAAGGAACCCACCAAATACATTTAGAATCGCCCACTGCTCACTTGTTCAACCCTCAGGATTCTTTACATTGCAATATCAACCCATTAAAAAGCCAAAACCACCAGGAATCAACAGAAACCTGTAATGGTTTCTATGGGTTTTTTCCAGCTAGGCATTGAGAGATTCAAAATATGTTGCAAAGCTCCACATATTTGAGAAATTTCTCATTTTAACCCATTCATGCATGTTTTATTGAAAGAACATATCGCTGTTGTTAGATCAAAACCTCATATCTCCAAAATGGTAACTTTAGAGAAGGAAAAAACATACTTTACTTTTAATGTAAGTCAATGGAACCCAGAATTTTTTCCGAGTCATTTTGTCCATTTGTTTTGGTCCTTTCATCATGAAATGTACACATAATATAAAGGACAAGAGGCATTTTCAAATTATGTCAAAAACGGAAAAACAACAAAGATGCAAGGTTTTGTCCCAACAGCAGCAATATCCAAATTTGAAAAGATTTTTCCTAAGTACCTATATTTCACCTATATTAAAAAAGAACTGTCTGCGTATGTGGACACCATGCATGGGCTGTAATCCAATGCTAAATAAAAAAAAAAATGTTTTTATGAATAAAATGTTTTGCTGATAAAATAATTAACATTCTATGAGCAATTTTGAAATGTATCTCTGTAGCCTTGTTGGGAACACAAAACCTGTGAGTAGGTAGGCAAGATCTTTTCCAGTCAGTGTTTGAGAATTCAGGAAGAATTTTCCTCTTGGGGTCTTTTATGTCTACACTGAAACAGGATCTGAATGTATTTAATGTTACACTTTTGGTCAAAGATGGAGAGTCCATTTAGGACCAAAGCAGAGTGTTTTATACACGTGTCTGTAAAGCAAAGAAAAACTTCTCACCAACAGTAACAAGTAAGTTTGAAGACAGAATTAAACTCCTTAAAAATTATGGAAAAAGTATATTTTTCATAAATTGTTCATAGGAGAGTAAGCTCCCATCATCACTAAACAAATCCAACATATGAGAAATACTCTTGTCATGCCATTGTGATGGAAATAATGATTTTCCTTTCAATATCCCTCTTTATTTTTCCATAATAATGTTTTATGAGAGGAAAAATGATGCATGTAAACACTTAAAAAAGGTGGTAATTCAAGACTTCTTTAGTGAAGGCAATGGACCTATATAGCTCCATGAACCCTCAAAGAACCGTGGTAAAATTCATGGTAACTTCATTCAGCTCCTTGTATCTACTCTTTCTGTCCACTTACTATATAGGAGCACTTTGTAGTTCTACAGTTAAAGACTGTAGTCCATCTGTTTCTCTGCATACTTTCTTCCTTTGTTCTTCAAAGGTCAGGACCCCCATAGGACCACCACAGAGCAGGTATCATTTGGATGCTGAAATGGATGCTTTGCATGGAGAATGTGTTGTATATTGTTCTATATAGTACCAAAAAGAGTTCTGTCATTGTTACAATGTCAAACAGAAGAACCCTTTTTGGTGCTATATGGAAACCTTTACAAAAATGTTATGTATAGAACAATATACAACACATTCTCCATCAATCTGAAGAACCATTTCACCATGCAGAGAACCATTTAAGCATGCAAATTGTTCATCGTTCTGTTTAGAACCACTGAATTTACTTTAAAACCTTTTCAAGGAGTGTATTCTCCCAATGTTAGGAGCAAACGTTCTTACAGTAACGTCAATGGAATGTTCTTTAAACATTACACAACCTTGATAAAAGTTCTCAATGTTAGCCTGGAACGTTCTAAGTGTAGCGTTAAATTAACGCTCTTTAAACGTTTTTTTTTTTTTCTAAACTAAAATTTAATAGAGTATTCGTAGTATTCCGTTGATGTCATGCAATTGTGCTTCCACCATTATCGTAGACAATGTCAAGTTCGAATACTCAGCTTTAGGCCTGAAACATACTTCATGCAAGGATGTGAACATGGATGCTTTAAGCTATGCAGAGGGGGTTTCATGTGTAGTTGCATTCAAAAATGTCTCACGGTGCATTTCATAACACAACGCATGCTCAAGCTGCATTCTGAGCATTGCTGCGAGGGGTGCTACAGTGACAGCCAAGTTGTTTTGTACCGCTGGCGTGCTTTTTTTCCAGTCAATTGTCATGGCAGACCAGTCTATCACAGAATTGGTTCGCTCATACAAACATATACATGATACATCATTGCCTCTGCATTCTGATAGAACAGCAGTTGAAAATGCCATAACTTCTCTCAGTTCTGACATGAAAATGGCAAAGAGAAAATAGAAATAGCTTCGGGACTGATTTGTCTGCTTCAGAAAAAAAGTGGAAGGACGTCCGCAATGGAGATGCTGCAAGAGGCCATGGCTTTCCTGCTATACTGGACAGTATAGTGCTTTGTTTTGAGGTGATGGAATTAGACAAAACATTGTAAATTTGGAGTCATGCTTATAGAAGTTTTTGTATGGTTCCAAATATAGTCATTTAAATTTTAGGTAAAGGCCTGTGTAATTTTATCACCTGCAAACGTTAGTATTGAGTATTGAATCTTTGGGAAATAAGGTGGTAATTTGTAACTTTGGTGCTGGTAGCTTTGTTGTAGAAATACAGTCTGTAAGTTATTCTAGTTTTCTTAGTAGTTTTCTAGTAACCATTGCAGCTGGCGCCATATCAGGAAAGTAGTCAGACAAGTCAGGCACCGTCCAGGTTCCCCATCCAAACTGCCACTGCATCTTCATTTCAACCAGAATGCCCTGTGCAGTCAGATCCCCAACAACACCAGTCTCAGCCTCACTGCCAACTACAGATAGATCCTATACCGTCCTCCTCCTCTTCCTCCTCCCCTCATCTTGCAGTCCTGCATACCTCAGCAAAGCAAAAGAAAAATGCAGCTAAACAAAACATCTACTCTGCTTTTACAGAATACCTAACCCAGTTCCTCTATCAGCTACCAGAGAGAGAGGATAGGTAGGTGATGAGAGAGATTTCACAGTTAATACTGTCCTATGGTCAATTTTAGGATGGCTGTTAGTTCAGTTGGCCAAGTATTTCAGTTACATTTATGATACACATATTTGTATATTTTTGCATAGTGAGCTAGAGTTAGAGTGTAGCTTTAGTATGTTACATGTGTAAGCACAACAATCCAGTACAGACAGTCTGCAAAGTTTTTAATCTGATCTATAGCCAGGATATGTAGAAGTTTACTTCATTTGATCTACAGCAATCCAGTGCAAGTAGACTATGAAGTTTATTTCATCTGCAATGTTTGTTGAAATGTTTGTTGTATAAATAAAAGAAGGCAGAACTGGAAATGCATGGACTGTGCTATTTTCAAAGAAAGGAAGCTCTTAGCACATCTCAATCCTCACTACCTTTTGCTGAAGGTAACATGGAAACATAAAATAGATTAATCAAAATTTTGAAGTTAAAACTGCAAATACATTCAAATGTGAACCAAGAGACAGATCCTATAAAAGAAGGAAGGATTCATTTGATATCTGCACTCAAAAAAATGACTCTTTGAATTTACTTAATTTTCTTTCGTCAAAGTGTTGCACGAAATTAAATTATCTACATTCAGAGATATAATTTGAGTAACATTTACTCATTACCTCTAAGTAATGTCAACTTAACTATATTTTGCAGGATTTACTTCAATAGTGTAATTTTAACTAAAATGAATCATGTTCTTTCTACTTAAGCAAATTATGTAGATTGTTATACATACAACTTTTTAGTTAAAACAACTCAAATTTGATGCCCTTCTGATGACATTTACTCATTGCTTATAAGTTTTGTCAACTTAATTATATTTTGTAAAATTTCCTTGAAGTGTAATTTTAACTAAATTGAATTATGTTCATGCTATTTCATTATGAAGATTGTTAAATAATTTTTAGTAAAACTACTCAATTCTGGTGTATTTCCAAATAGTTACTCTTTGTTTATTAGATACAACAGCTTAATTATATCACAGAGCATTTATTAATGTACAATGTTTAAATGTTAATTTTCACAAATTAAACTTCAGCTACACTTATTAATGTTCCATCTTGTGATGGTCTGGTGGAAAAGACATGTGGGTATGTTTCAAGGTTAGGGTGCAAAAGTGGGTGTTTATTGAATCTCAGTGAAGAAAACAAACAAAAAAAAATGCAATTTATCCAGTGCAAAAAAGGGAAAAGAAAATAAATGAAACTCAATATTTACAAATATATATAACTTAGCATGAAGTCACTTATTCAATCACAATTTTAGCGTTCTTTGGGCTCCAACCACATTTCATAAACTTCTCCACTAGACTAGCTCACTTTACTCCCTCTAGGGCTTTTATAGAGCTAAACAGGAAGTATAACGGGGAGTTCACTATAAAAAGTAAAAAGTAGTAAAAAAACAGACTAAATACTTCCCTAAAAGTGCACAGGTATCAATACATTATCGCTTGTCTTGCAGGCAACACAAGCTAAAATGCAACTTCACATACAACAATAAGCTTCAAACAGAACACTGCAATTATAAACACATTCACCTAAAGGTGTGTGCCTTTAATCACAATTAATTAAGTCTTAAGTAATGGCCCAGAATTTGTGAAACAATGAAGTAACATTCAGTAATTATGTAATGATAACACCAACCTTAAGTGCAACTTTACAACAGCAGATATTTAAAATAGAACAGCACAATAACACAGCATGGATGTTATATGACTTTATACAACATCCAATTGTCAATGAATAATGTCAAAAATAATGCCCCGGAAATAGTGCCTACTGAGTACAACCTTCTTGTCAAAGCACTGCGTGCAGTTAGCACAATCTTATTTTGCTTGTTAGACTACGCAAATTTCAGGTGAAAATTTATAGAGCTCATTGTTCAAAAGGTTACTTTGTACAGTGTTAGCAAAAGATATTCTAAAATGTAACTGCATGCCGTTTTAAGACATATTGTTCTTAAACATGACCAGGATCTTGACATGTTGTATAGAAAATCATTGAAATGTCATTGAATTTTAAGAGATGTTGACGAATACAGCCATTCTTATTTCATGTGACTTAAGCGTTGTTCAAAAGCCCATTGCTTTTCAATCAAAGCAGACGCTAGTGTGAAAAGTTCCATATATTTCCAGAATGGACAGCCTACGACTATCCCAAGATTTTGTTCTTCAAACCAAGAATATTAGGGGAGAGCTTTGCACCATCCTTTGGCATGAGGAATGTACAAATTCATAGCAGCATTTCCGCCCATTGTGGTGAGTCATATTCAGTGCATAGATTACTCCAAGCATTATTGCAGTCTGGTGCAACTGAATTGATGTTTCCTACAATAACGTTTCCATCAGCGTCACCGTCTTCATATTCTCCAAGAGCTCCACCCTCTTCTGATGACATAAATGCCCATTTCAGTGCTGTGCTGGTCTCTCAAGATGTCTTCACCATGAATGTCCTACAAATTAAATCTTGTTATTAATACTAAACTTCATTGTACTCTTGCCCATAAAGAGTAAGTTCCGTTTATTTCTCATTTGAGCTTTACTAAATACTTCCAGGCATCTCTGACAGTTTTTTTAATATCAAATACTTATTTTATGATGAATCTAAATAAAATCAGTCCCCATCTCCACAAAACTCCATTCAATGGTAAAATACACATTACAAAATGGATAGTTCTATTTCACCCTTTTCACACTAGCACCTACAATCTATGGTTTGTGCTAACATACTAACACACTAACACCGCATTTCGATTTGGATTTACTATACAGATGGGACAGGGCTGATTTTATTAAGCAAATGTTATAAGCAATTGGTAAGAACTGAGGTGCCTGGAAGACACACAGTATTTAAAAGAGCTCAAACATGAAATAAGATGAATTTACCTTAGTTAGAAATTAGAATTGAATTAGAATGATGGTGATGTGCTCAGGTCACATACTGACTTACCCTGTACTCCTTGATAAGAAATCCATCATCATCATTCAGGTGCGGACAAAGAGCTTTTATGATGGCTTCTCTTTTACGGTGGACATAAATAAAAAGTAGCTTTACAAAACAAATATCCTCATAGTTAAATACAAATATCAAATCTGGGTCATAAAAATGCACTTACCAGAGACATACAACATGCCAGAGAATACTTTAAAACAAAAACCATGTTAACATTTTATCTTAAACATAAGCTTTACTTTAATGTTTTATTGCAGCATGTGGAAGGACATAACAGTGCATTATTTTGGCTGAAATTTAATAGTCTTCCAATAATATATATATTATTTTACTCATATTCAGCTATTTGTTTTAATCCTTTGAGCATTATTTTAGTTTGAAACCAACTATGATATTTAAGTCACATCATGGTTCTTTTAATCAATATGGCTATCAGGATTCCCCGTCTACGGTTTGTGCATTATTGAGCATCAAAATCAATGTATAATAATTACTTCTACCACTTGACACTTGAAGACCATAATGTTTAACATAAATGCAACTAAACATAAGGTCAACCACATCTTGGTAACAATGACAGAGGGGTTACATGAGCAAAATACATTTCGGGCGATTGGTGTTGAAGGAACAGAAAGCTGAAATCAATCTTAAACCTGCTTCATGGTGCTTGTAGTCTTAACTAGCTAAGTTAGCCAGCTAGCTGCTAACACTAACGTATGCTTAGCTAACTAATGCTAGCTAGCTGCGCTAATGGTGTCAGAGTCTGTGTTGGAACAACACACTGCAAACTGGGTTCATCGAACAGAGCATTAAGTCTTAAATGGACAAACAATGAAATTAAACCAGCTAACTGATGTCTGTAACCTACTAGCTGCTAGCGCTATGTTTGCTAAGCTAACGCTCGCTACAATAGCATTTGCAGGCTCCATCAGAAACCAGCTCTGGCTCCATATCCAAACTCCAGGCTCGGTGGAGCTAGCTAGCTAGCTAACAAAGGCTGAAACTACACTATATCCAAAATCACAGGCGAAGCGAGCACTTATGAGCACTTATGAGCATTTATGAGTGAGGAGTGAGTTGAGGCTCAGCACTGTACAAGAAAATGCATCAGCAAATAATCCAACAGTTTAAAAATAATGTTTCTCAATAAGAGTTTGCAAGTATTTTGGGGTTTTTCACCCTCTAGAGTGCATAATATGAATAAAATATTCGCAGAATTTCTGAAAAAAAGCAAGGCCGAAAGCCACAACTGAATGCCTGTGTCCTTTGAACCCTCAGATAGCTCTGCATTAAAACAAGCATATTGTGATTTCTGGAATAAAGAAGAAATTTGTGGTATTTAGTGCACACGAGGCATCACATTTGGAATGAGCACATATTTACAAAAAACAGAAAAGCTCATAAGATAAAACATCAAATATTGTGTCTTTGTATTGTTTACAATTTAATACAGATCAGACAGAATTTACTTATCCCTGCATTCTGTTTTCATTGGCATGTCACACACTGTCCCAACTTTTTTGGAATTAGGTTTGTTTTAAGTTAAATTGTTATACTGTATTTTTTGTGAAGAGCCCCATTTGTACATAAAATGCCACTTAATTTGAGTTGGTAAGAGCAAAAACTGCCCCACCACAAAAAGAAACTACTTACTCTGTAATGTAAGCCTTTCACTTTAAGAGCAATGAAACTTGAGACATCAGACTACCTCCACCCACAGTCATATCAGTGACACAGGCACTGACAGGATTTCCTTATTCCAACAACGAAACTTAACAAACATTATCATCCTATATTACAAAGTTTTCTTTTGTTGTGCATCTATAAGCTTGCTTTTAATATGGAATTACTTATTATAGGCATTGTTTCTGATGGACAACTTGAGGGCTAGGGCTGGAATGGGTGTGCTTTGAGCTGGCTACTCTAAATGACTGGTAAGGTTGTGATAAATGTATTATCATATTAATTATAAAATTTGTTATCTTCTATAATAACCAAAACCACAAATGTTGCTTACTTGCAGGCAGGCATGTGCTTGTAGTTAAATGTTGGTTCTACACAAAATTTCTGAAGTTTCCAATGATTTATTCTTGTGTACATAAAGGATAATTTATTGGTGCTTATATATCCCATCACTATGTTATATGGCAGTGCACTGAAGATGAAATGTTGACTTTTTAGCTAATACTAATTTTGTGAGTTCGGCACGTGGTGGTAGTATGTGGGAAGAATGATTGAGGGAAAGGGGAGAACTCGGGCTAGAGTTAAGGGCAGTTTTTGCCTGTAGCCAGAGTTTGCACACTTCGTCACAGGAACGGAAGGTGAGAATATTATTTTTAATTAATTTATAGGGCGTTAGATTGGAAGAAGGAGGCATGTTCCTCCCCCCAAAGTTCAGTTATAACATAACTACATTTACTGTACATTTACTGGTTGTTAAATAAAAAAACAAATAAACCAATCCGGCATTTCTGCTGTCTGCTGTCTGTTGAGCAATAGTGACTAAAACAGAAAAACAGTGAGCTTTTATGCAAGTGCAAGGAAAGATACAAGCTTTGGACTTTCAATCACAGTCCAGAAGTCCAAATACAGTACAACAGAAACAAATTAACATAGATTAGGCAAACATCATAGGAATAACAACAGAAAAAAAGAATTACAGAAGTTGTACACGTTTTTGAGGGCTGCTGGAGCCTGGTGGAAAAACATGCTAGGCTCAGTGGTTAGACATGGAGGGGAAGGCAGGCCCAAACCAGTCAACTTCACCAGTCATACTAACTAACCTGTCTGAGGGTGAGTGCATCTGGGAGGCAACTCCTTATTAATGCCCATGGTTTTTGGAATGGCATATCCACCAAGCTCATATGGGTGTGGCGTATAGATGTCCACATACTTTTGGCCATAAAGTCTGCAAAGTCTCTATGTATGTATATACATATACCAACTATACCAGATGTCATAACAATATTGAAATAACATTGATATAGTAACACTTAACAATAAAATGATGTTGATATATCAACTCTAAAGACAAATTGAAAACCTAATGTCTTAACAACAATGAATTGATGTGGCCAATGTGGAGACAAGATTTCAAATTGATTTTAATGTTGTGACAGCATTTTCCTGTTTACCACAACAAATGGTGTAAATAACCTTTAAGGCACTTTGTGTCATTCAGTACCCCAGCTGATTTGGAAAGTAGAAAGTCGTTAAAAGAAAAATGGTTCATGTCTGCAGCACAACTTGAGTAATTGGGGAGAATGGGGTAAGATGAGCTGATGGGTAAGATGACCCCAAGTATCTTAGCAACCATAAACAAGTTTAACTATGAGACAGCATTTTCAAACTAGTTTGTTAAGTAAAACCAAGTTGATTCATATTAACAGCTTTGGTGGTCGTCTCCAAAATAAGGACAAAATTACACCATATAGCTAAAAACTTAAATATAAACATGAATTCATATAACAGTATGCATTTCAACAGGAAGTGATCTCTACCAAGGGATGTCACCCAAGTGCAAAATACAGGTGGTCCTTAGACACCTTGAATGTCACAAAATCAAGAATTTGGGGGTTCCCTGAAAATAAACTTATGACTTTCTGTTTTCCATTAGGGTAAATTATATGCTCAATTAGAAATTCAGAAGAAAAAAAAATCATCGTTTAGCCTGCTTCACCCATGAAACGACAAGCTTCTGTTTGTGGTATTCTTAACTACTAGAAATGCAGCACTGGTCTGCCTCAGGGTGGTGCTGCAGCAGATTTGGTTATATCTTAGCAACTGTAACTATGCCTGGGATACCTCTGAAAAGCTTTGCAATATGACACGGTGTATTGTTAATCTGAAAACTTGCCATATTTCCCAATAAATTGGTGGAAATCGTGAACTGTTACACATTTCCCAAACCAAAGACAAAAGCGGAGATTTGTAACATCTCAATTAATGTGGAAGTGCACATTACCCAACACAGAACCCCCCCTGAATAGGAGGGAGTGTATTGCACACTGTCACCACATATCATACAACATTGAACATAACCTTTTTTGGCAGTATTGTTTCAGTGTTTTATAGCTAGGCTTAACAAAAGCTTATTGGTTTTAAAAGTAGTCTACCATGGATTCAGAAAGCATTCAGATCTATAGACTGTTTCACTTTGTGTTGTGGATTTGATTTTGAGTAAATATAATTGCAGTCATACGCCTTTTACCCAATAGTGACTTCTTGCCACTCTGCCATAAAGGCCTGATTTATGGAATGCTGCAGAGATGATTGTCCGTCCAATAGGTTCTCCCATCTCTGCACAGGACTTTTGGAGCTCTTTTAGAGTGACTGATGGGTTTTTTCTTATCTCCCTGACCAAAGCTTTTTTTGGTTGGATGCCCAGTTTAACCAGATGGCCAACTCTAGGAAACTTCAAGGTTGTGCTAAGCTTCTTGCATTTTAAAATTATTGAGGCCACTGTGGTCCTGGGAACATTCAAAGCCTTAGATTTTGTTTAATATCCTTGCCCTGATCTATGGCGTGGGGAGCCACAAACAGTTCTTTAGAAGTCATGACTTGGTTTTTGTGGGCCCTTATAGACCCAGATGTGTTCCTTTCCAGACAAATCAATTCAGATTGCAACAGGTGGAAGGATAATTAAAACAAACAAGATGCACCTGATGACAATTTGGAGTGCGATGGCAAAGGATGTGTATACTTCTGTGAATTAGAAATTACAGTTTTTGATTTTTAATTAATTTTAAAAACTCTAAAAACATTTTTTCACTATCGTTATGGGTGATGAAGTGTAGATCGCTGGGTAAAAATGGCAATTATATCGCATTCAAAATCGCAATAAATTGTGCAAAAAGTCAAGATGTCTGGATACTTTCTGAATCCACTGTATTAATAAAAAAAAAAAAACAAAAGACAAACTTTTTTTCAGATTGAACATCCAGTAAATTTTTAACTAAATAACAAATCTTGATTGCAAAGGAGGCACAACACCAAGTTATCACAAACGCTGTTAGCATGTGTAGCTGTTTGTTGGTTTTGATGACCCTGAATCTTTTACTAGAGAGAAGTGGCTGGAAGAAGTTATGTCCAGGGTGATAGGGGTCATCTGTAATTTCATTCTTCAACACCCTGCTGTTGTAGATGTCCTGAAATGTTGCCATACTACATCAAATTATCCTATCTGCCATTCTGAATGAGTTTGGCTCATGAATGGAGTGGAGGAACCAAAGCAGATGGATATGGATGATGTGAGGATGGACTAGATGATCACTGTGTAGAAGTGGATCATTAGACTCTGGCGCAGGTTGAATTTGTTTCAGTGTCCCAGGAAGAACATTCTCTGTTGCCCTTTCTTCGCTTTCTTGATGGAGACCGTGTTCCTCTCCCACTTCAGGCCCCTGGATATGGTGGTGCCCAGGAATCTGAGTGACTCCACAATGGAAACCACAGAGCCAATGATGCTGAGGGTGGGTAGGGAGGGGGGTTGCACCTGAAGTCCACCACTATTTCCATAGTCTTTTGCATGTTCAGCAGCAGGTGGTTACTGTTGCACAAGGACATTGTCTGCAAACTTGCTGTAGAGAATGAAGAGAATGAGTAAGAGCACACAACCTACTACACCGATACTGAGGGTCCAGGGGTTTGATATGTGTTTTCCAAGCAGCACCTGCTGCCTCCTGTCAGGAAATCCACAATCCAAAAAAAAGATGGAATCTGGCACAGATAGCTCACACAGTTTGACCTGCATCAGCTCTGGCACTGTATTAAATGCCAAACTGAACTCTACAACACAGAACTTTAGTGTAAGTCCTAGGACTATTGAGATGCCATAGCATGAAGTGCAGGGCCAAGTTAACTGCGTCATCGACAGACCCATCAGCTCCTATATGCAAACTGCAGGGGATCTAGCAGAGGGTTTATAATGGCCTTCAGGTGGGCTAGGACCAGGTGTTCAAAGACCTTAATGAGTACAGAGGTTAGGGCTGCTGGCCTGTAGTCATTTAGTTTAGTAATGTTTGTACTTTGGAGAATAAAATGACTGATGTTTTGAAACATGAGGGAAAAGCAAAGTTCCTGTGATGTTTTGAAGATGTTTGTGAAATTGCTTTTGTTTGGTCAGCAGTAGTTTAGGGTGGATAGAGAGACTAAAACTCACTTTTTGTCTGTTGAAAATGCTTGACGTCCTGCTCATTGATGGTGAGATGGGCAGAGGTGAGAGAGCCAGGGTGGGGGAGGAGGGCAGGGAACTGGGAGACAAAGGTTGAAGTGTTGCGGGACGGCAGGGAGGCGGACCCGAGTGCAGAGAGGAAAATCTGTGAAAAGGGTCTTAAATGAACTAATGAGACAATGGAATGATTCTGCACTTTCGGGTTGAGGTGGCTCAGAGCCAGGCTCAAACCGCCTATGTACTGAATGGCGGTCTGAGGAATTATAGCTGCGCCACCAGGAAGCACAGGCAAAAACGGGAAAACCACCTCAACGAATAAAAAAACGCCAGGAAAGGGCAAACAAAGGGGCGCTGAAAGCAGTGTGCTCAAACAAAGGCTGAGATAGAAAAATGAAAAAGATAATCAGAAAACAAAAGACAGTTCCACTGTGATTATGAGAGGAAGGTCAGCTTTATGTTTCAACTGTTCTTCTTTTTCTTCTTTCTGTTGTTTTGGGGCAATTTCTCTTTTTTCCCAGCCCTCTTTTCTTTTCTTTTTGTATAAATACCCACCTGGGCTAAACACCTTACCGGTCACCCCTCTACAAAGGTGTGACACAGGGCTGCTGTTTGCCACAGCCCTAAGTAGAGGAGCCCACAGATGTGCCAGGTTGGGCCTAATCAGCCCAAGGGCTTCTGGGAATTGGAGTTCCCTGAACTTGTGGCACCTCGCCGCTGTCGCCCTCTGCTAGTGGCCAGCGGCACAGGCTGGGCCTTTACATGAAGATTGTCCTTTGTGTATTCAAATCTGTTGTAGAACTGCTTTAGAACTCAGCTTTTGTCATCTTGTAGCTGGGGATCTCTTGGAGGCCTTTCCAGACTGAAGTTGGGTCATTAGCAGCAATGTGGCTTTTCAGCTTTTGCGTATTTACTCTTGGCTGCTTTAATTCCTTTCTCCAGCTACTCTGGCCTCTTTGTAGAGAGTTTTATCCCCACAGGATTTCTGCCTCCTTTTTCCCTCAAAGTTGTCTGAATTCAGTTGAAACTATTATTTGTCATTGCTGTATTTCAGCTGTGCTTTCGTTGAAATGCAGCTGTGTTTGCTAAAAGTGATATGACATTATTGTGTCTGTGTTTACACACACACACACACACACACACACACACACACACACACACACACACATATATATTCCCATTATATTTTTGTATTCACAAATGCAAGAAAATCTGCCACACTTTATAGTACTGTTAACTGTGGTACTTGTTGTGCCTGGAAACATAATAACCTGGTTCAGAAACTGATGGAAGGGGCAGGCTGGAAATATAAAAGCGGTAGATAATGCTATGATTTAATTTGCAAATTAAAGAAGCAAAAGACAATTAAACAGACAAACTTTCAACTACTCAGTATCATCAGTGTGAAAGCAACTCAGTAGACTTACTGATGGTAGCATGTATCTGAAACATTGAAGAATTTTCTTAACTTGAAATAAGATGCTGTAAGATAAGATTTCTAAATTAAGATTTGCTTCTGTAAAATCTAAAAAAAACTTATCTTGACCTCTCAGATCTTAACTTAAGACAAAAAGATAGGAAGCTTCTGTAATATAGCCTCAGAATCATAATATTAATTATTAGCAAATGAACCTCTAGCATGGCAAAGGCAGAGATTGTAAAGGTGTTGAAGGTAAACTGTGAAAATGGTGTTGAAGGTAAACTGTGAAAATGCAGTTTGATTATTTCATGTCTTGTTTATTTGACATACATTTTGTGTGAGCACTGTCTTACCACATGTGTAAAATGGTTAATGCAAAGTACAATGCAAATCAATTCAGTTCATGTATGTGTAATTGTATCTGTAACCTTGGTTAAAACTACATATAACTGAAAAAAATAATTAGAACAAATACAAATAAATGCATTTTAAAAATATATTTAACAAATACCTTTTTGACCATTTTCATAAATTGCAAAAAATATTTGATATACATTTGGAATATATATTTTTCCTGATGTGATATAAAAGGAAAGGCACAGTCTTCTATGAATGTGGCTGGGTTAAGGCTCAACACTTTGCCAAAAATGCATCAGCAAAAACTCCAGCAGTTTAAAAATAACATTTTTCAGCCAGAAATTTCAAGGACTTTAGGTATTTTATCCTCTACAGTGCATAATGTCATCAGAAAATTCAGGGAAAAAAACAGGGAAATTCCTGTGCATAAAGGAAAAAGCCAAAAACCACAATTGAATGCACTTGACCTTTGATCCCTCAGACAGCACTGCATTCAAAACTAGCACGTTTCTGTGATAGATATCACTGCGTTGACATCACCACGCAAATACTTTGTTAATAAACACGGTCATCAGTAAACCATTGTCAGTGAACTTGGTATGTCGCTGTATCCGCAAATGTAAATTAAGACTATACTATGCACAGCGGAACACGTATGTCAACAGCGTCCAGAAACGCTGCTGACTTCTCTGGGCTAAAACTAATCTGAAATGGACTGATGCACAGTGGGAATGTGTCTTGTGGTCTGACAAGTCCACCTTTCAGAGTGTTTAAAGAAATAATGTACCTTGTATAACAGAGGAATGGCAGACAAATACACTTTCAAAACTGGATCAGTTTATTAGATGTTGTTAAAAGAGTAGGTAAACGTGAGTGGTAAACATGCTCCTGTCACATCTTTGTTGCTGATATCAAATTTGGAATGAGCTTATATTTACAAAAAAACAAAAAAATAAACTAAAACAAAAATTATGTTTTTCTGAAGTTTTAAATATACTGCAGATCAAACAGAATTTACTAGTCACTGCTCTCTGTTTTATTAGCATTTCACATGCAGACTCAACTTTCTTGAAATGAGGCTGTAGAAAAGCATATTTTAGGAATTGTTTCTTTTTCTTAGCAGGCTGCAAGCAATACTATCTTACTTCATTTTGACACACAGAAAACACCAGTTTGCAGGAAGCAGTCTTAAATTTGCAAAGCATATTCTCAAAACAGGTTTTATGATTTAAAAATGTAATAATTCTGATAATTGTTGTAACTGACAACTGTTTTGTGTTTGCTGACAGATACTTCACCTACAGTACTTATTTATTTATTTACTTACTTATTTATTTATTTACCTTTTTCTTTATGTCTCTCAGAACAAAGCTACCATGTCTGACTACAAACATCATCCAATTGAAAAATGGACAAAGGAGCATGTTCAAGCATGGCTTTGTAAAACTGTTCAAGTCAAGCAGAAATATGCAGACATGTTTGTTAAGCAGGAAATATCAGGTGAATGCCTACTATGCTTTGAAAAGCAGGATATAGTAGACATGGGAATAGAATATGGCCCAGCTGTTAAGATCTGGTCACAACTAAAGAAACAGAAGGCACTGTCAAACACTGCAGCATCCTGCAAACAAAAGAAGCAGAGACAAACAAGCAGCACACCTGAAGCAGATGCCTCCACTAAGACAGTGAGTCCTCCACAAAGACATCCTATTCAGAGAGCAGAAAGAGACAATCAGGTATGCATATTCAAGTTGGTAATTTCTAGGCTGTCAAATGATTAAATTTTTTGTAGTTAATCAGGATGAATCACATTTGTCTTGTTTACTCAAATTTAACCATATTTTTATTTCTACTTAAAAGCAGTGCATTTTGTTATAGCTGTATGAGTGGAAAAATAAGCTTCATGAAGATGTATTTATTACTTTCAATAATTAAATAACATTATTTTATCATGTGAACCCAGCCTGAAAATGGAAAACATGTGTCCACACAAAATGAACCCAGTTTCTATTTTCATCACTGACATACAGTGATAGCAACAGTGTCTGCATGTACCAACATGTTTTTTTGCTTGTAAACACACATCAGGCTTACAGCACGGCAGTAGCTGGACATAACTTGGAACAATATGAACCATTTAAAAGCTGTATTTGAATAAAAAGGCTAAAGCCATGAGAGCAGCTGGGCTGCACTAATATGGATAGTTCAAAGGGTCGAACTAGAAGAATGTGTTAACAGAGTTAAGAAGATTTGTGGCGTTAATAAATGTAATTTATTATATATAATTAAATATGCATATATATATATATATATATATATATATATATATATATATATATATAAAAAATTAAAAATAAGCATTTTTATACCACCATTGCTAGAAAAAGATGTTCTTTTGCTGCTTTGTAGCCAAACTAATGTTAGACTTCTTACCCTGTTAGTTCATGTCCTTGGTTATATTAAGCATGATTCATCATACCATACCATTTAAAAGTCAAAATTCAAAAGTCAAAGTTATATTCTAAATGACATGTTCAGTAATTACCAAAGTCTTTGCTTGGCATGATGCTTGGCTTTGGAATAAGAACACTTGTTACTAGTAACACAACATTTCAGACTGATAACAAATACCAAATTCCCTTCTGTTTATATAGATGCCAAGTATTTTTACATTACTTCTTCATTGTCTGGAGGATCTCACAGATGAAGACTTTAAGAAGTTCAGAAGATACCTAAAGGAACCTATACTGAATGAGTGCAACACGATTCCTACATGTCAGTTGGAGAACAAAGAAAGAACAAACATTGCTGACTTAATTATAGAATATCATGGGGAAGAAAATGCCCTGAAAATCACCGTCTGTATACTGAAGAAGCTTCCACGGAATGACCTTGTGGAAAGCCTTACAAAAAATGTTGGTAAGATAAATCAAGAAATGAGCTTTGGTTCCATTTTAAATTAGGCTCTGATCCTTTTTGCTGCTTACTAATTTGCATAGTTGTTTTGTATAAACAGTCCATAATATTGCATCACTATTGAGCATTTAATGCATATGTGTACTTGTATTTGTAGACCAACTCCAAGTTTCAACAACAGACTCAAAGAGAGAAGTGAAAAGGGAAACAAATCAGGGTGAAAAGCTCAAGAACCTGCTGACATGTGGAGCATCAACACTGGGTCACTACAGCCATTTTATCATCATCATGAACAAAAGTGATCCTGACCAGCTTGAACATCTACAGTTCCTTTGCAAACTAAATTTGTTTTGTGTTTTGGACTTTGATCCTAGTTCAAACACTAATGGTACATGCAAACTGTACAGAGAATCCCGTCATGCAAACCTGCATTTCCCAGACCTTTTCCAGGGGGAGCCAAGTGCAGTGATCAAAAATCTAAACCTCTACAACCAGACCAGTTGGGTGTTTTGCAATGGAAGGCTAGATGTGAACTCTGAATCTAACAGACATCTTGACTACCAAAGCTGGTTGAGAATAACTCATAGGGAAATAGAGCAAATGGTTTCATTTATCTACAGACCTGAAGTCCTTCCTGGTAGGAGATGTCTTGTGATATTCCTTCTGCTTTCTACTGTCCAGTCAGAGAAAGACCCCATTTTTGATACATTCATGACATTTCACAGGCAGTGTGGAGGGGAGGAGAACATCATCCATATTTGTAAAAATGAGCACACATTTGAAAAATGGCAAAATCTCATTCAAAAGAAGTATGAGTTTGATCTCAACAAACAGTCCATTTATGAGTTGGACTTGAGCCAAGTTAATGGACTAATAATGAAACTGGGACCACACTCTCAACCCTGTGAAAAGTTGCTGCCATCAGCTGGCTCTAGTTATGTCATTCTGCAACAGAAGGATGCAGATAGAATGACTACGTTAGACATTTTGTGTGCAAATGAATGTGACAATGTTCAGGTTGAAAACAGCTCTGAATTTCAAAACTTAAAACTTGAGGTTGAGGAAGAATTCTATAGAGGGGGAGAAGTCAAGTGGTTGAACTTCTACTTCTCGGAGAAACAAAAAGCAAAGCCATTCATCAAACGAGACAAATATGAAGCTGTGATGACAATGGTAACATCTCAGATTAAGCGTCCTAAAAGCACATGTGTCCTGGTGAATCTTTTTCACCATCCTGGATGTGGAGGTACAACTTTAGCAAAGCATGTGATGTGGGACCTTAGAAATCAGTTAAGGTGTGCAGTTCTGAAGGACAGCTCTTCAGATGATCAGGTGGCCTCGCAAATAATGGACCTAATGAAGCACGGGAAAAGTGACGAACCTCCTCAAACACCAGTGCTATTGTTGGTAGATGATTCCAAAGACACAGAAGCTGCGGAAAAGCTGAAGAATTGCATTCGCAGGAAATTAGATGAGAATTGTGTAACAAAGCATGAAAAGTGTACCAGCTCACTGGTTATCATTTTGAACTGTGTTCGCACTCATTTCCCAAAGGATCAGTACAAATGCTGTGAGACACAAAGTCAGTACATAACAGCAGAACTAACAAAAAAAGAACAAGATGACTTTGAAGAAAAACTGCAAGAGCTGAGAGAAAATCATAAAAGGCCTGAGAACTTCTATAGTTTCATGATCATGAAATCAAACTTTGACAAGAGGTATGTTAAAAATGTGGTCTGCAATATCTTGAAAGATCTGGACATAGACACCAAACAAGCACAGCTCCTCTCCATCATGGCACTGCTGAACTCATATATTCCTGACTCACATATTTCTCAGTCAGTCTGTGAAGACTTTCTTGGAATGAAACCATTGCTGTGGGGAAAAGAGACCGTTCTTGAAAGGATGGAACCTTACTCAAATTTGCTTATTGGATCAAAGGGTGGTCAGTATGGGGAATACTCTGCCATCCGTATTCTACACCATGACATAGCCTGTGCATGCCTGGAGGAACTGGATTTGACATACAACATAAAGAGGAGTGACATTACTATGGATCTGCTGCACTGTGATTTGTTTTTCAAAACTGGACTGGGAAAAGATGCTTTAATACTTTCCATTCAGCGCATGTTGATTGAGAGGCAACGCAATGTGAAAAATGAGAGAGACACCCAGTTCTCCCTGTTGATTGAAAAAATCCACAAAGATGAGGGAAGACAAAAAGTTCAAGACATCTTCATGAAGGCATCATCAAGATATGAGACAAGTGCTTCCATCCCCCAAGCCTTGGCACGATACCTGTACCTTTATGACAGAGATTTCTCTCAAGCCCTTGATTGGGCAGAAAATGCAACAAAAATCACAGAAAATCCATTCACTGTTGATACAATAGGACAGATCCACAAAAATCATTTGAAGTATAAAATTCAACAAGAGAAGGAACAAGAGATGCCTCATACTCCAGAGTACCTTGATGCCTACCTTGAATTGGCTAAAAAGGCAATCAATGCCTTTCAAAGAGCACAGAAACTGGCAAAGACTGAATATGAGCCTTATGAAGATTACCATCTTGCGAAAGACTCATACAACCAATCTGCAGACATGGGGGTGATAGAAACAGCACTTATAGTCTTTGAAATGATCAGCAGCCTCCCATTTTTTGAAGGAGAAGATCCACTGACAAAAAGGTACTTGCAGAGCTTCCTCAAAGGCAGCATTCCTATTACAAATGTGTATTTCGAGGATAATGTGATAAATCTTAAATATGTTGATGTTCTAAAGAAACACGAACAGTTTGTTCATGGGTTAAAGAAGCAGGCAAAGACTAGTTTTGAATTCCTTGACAGTTATTTTACTTACTTGAAGAGCAGAAAATTTGAAGAGGAGTTAGACCATCGGTGTAGAAGAAAAGTGTCAGAATACTTCAAGGAGTATATTTCAGTTTTCTGCTCTGAAGCTGAATGGTCACAAGAGCAAGCAGGTAAAAGATTTCTTCGAGAAAACATGGACAATGAAGCACGCCAAATGTTTCTGGAAGAACAGAAAGCTGACACTTTTGCTGGGCTGCTTCAACACTTGGAGAAGGAGAGTGCAGAAACCATGGAGAAAATAACAGAATGTTACACATTTTTACATCAGCGTTTAAAGTCCAGAAATCCAAAATTCAAAACAAACTTCATACTGTCCAACTTAATCCTGCACTTCATCAAACCCAAATCAAAATGCACAATGAGGGAACAGGATCTCATCCATCTTTTGAAGGAAATGATGCAAGAAATAGGACTTCAGTACTCATCTCCAGAACCTTACTACTTGGCGTTACTGTTACTTTGGCCATGTTCGTCAACACCAGATATTGATAAAAATATCTTACTCTATGTCAGAGCCATACGCAGTTCCTTTCATCGTCAACTACCCCATTCGTTGCGCAGGAGAGGAGCTATTTCTTATTTTTTGCTGGGGAACAAGTCAGGATTGGAAAAGCTTGTTCCTAAAGCTAAACTGTACGACTCAAAAGACCCAAAAGAAAGCAACAGGCTTTGGCAGAGTGGAGAGATCTTCACTCTGGAGGACATCAAAGACCGCCTACACCGCGTATATGGAACTGTTGAGCAAGGGGAAGTTTACTTTGAGCACACTAAACACAAAATCCCAGTGCATCCAGCCTTGCTTGGTGCAGTGAGGACTGGATTCAGTACAGAAAGGGTGTCTTTCTACTTGGGCTTTTCCATGACCGGTCCACTTGCGTATGACATTCGCTATGAAAGCTAAGTTCATTGAAGAATTGAACTTAGCTTTCATAGTTTTTTGAAGAATAGGAGAGTTTGAAGAATTGAAGAATAGGAGAGTTTACTAATGCAAGAGTGTAGAATTTTGTATTCTACACTATCTCACAGTGCCTCTAAACATGAAGAACTGAGGACAGTCAATGAGAGGAAAAATGCAGTTTAGATGCTGAAAGAAGCAAATTCAACCATAACACAGAAATTAGAGACGGAAATATTTGCGTACCTTCAGAAAATGATAAAAGCTGTGCTAATTGGCTGCCAACTGCAGAATTATAAAGGCTACTTAAGAGGACAACAACTTTTCACCAGCATCATAAATAACATCCCAGTTTTCAACAGGATGAAAAGTGCTGAGATCATTCTGCTGATTTCTGAAACAAAGTTTAACGCAGACAAGAAGACATTGTAATGGGAAGGATAAAGTGCAGAGAAATAAGGTGGGGGGGGATCAACAATGAAAAAAAAAAATCTGTTGATACTATTAGGACACATCCACAAAAAAAGTCATTTAAAGTATAAAATTCAAGAAGAGAGATGCCTTGTACTCCAGAATATCTTGACGCCTACCTTGAGCTCCTAAAATAGCAATCAGTGATTTTCAAAGAGCATGGAAACTGAAACACAGCAAAGACTGAACATGAGCCTTTTGAAGATTACCATCTTACTAAAGACTCCTACAATCTGCAGACATGGGGGGTGAAACAGTGCTCATAGTCTTTGAAATGATCAGCAGCCTCCCATTTTTTGAAGGAGAAGATCCACTGACAAGAAGATACCTGCAGAGCTTCCTCAAAGGCTGCCTTCTTAATAAGAGAGAACAAGTTTCTTCATGGGTTAAAGCAGCAGGCAAAGACTAGCTCTGAATGCCTTGACAGTCACTTGATGAGCAGAACATTTAAGGAGGAGTTAAACTAAAGATGTAGAACGTGTGTCAGACTCCAGTCCTCGCGGGCCAAAACACTGCAGACTTCAGTACACTGCCTCATTAAATACACCTGATTCAGCTCATCAGCTAATCAGCAAGGCCTTCAGGAACTGAATTCAGAGCTTTAGATGAGGGTAAATACTAACAACCACAGCACTTTGGCCTGGAAGGTCCCCAGTTTGACTGGTGTAGAAGGAAGATATCAGAATACTTCAAGGAGTATATTTCGTTTTTCTGCTCTGAAGCTGAATCCTCACAAGAGCAAGCAAGTGAAAGATTTCTTTGAGAAAACATGGACACTGAAGCATGGAAAATATTTCCGGAATAACATAAAGCAACAATTTTGCTGAGCTGCTTCAACACTTCACAGAGTGAAGAAACCATGGAGAAAATCACAATGGGCCACATTCACCAATCATTCATAAGAAGGAATTTCTTAAAATCCACTTCGCATTTTTACGAAGATTCTAACATTCACCAGGGTTTTCTTATTTGGGATTTGTTCTTAGGTAAGAACAGAATCTACACACACTCAAGAGCATAAAGGTGCGAACAGTTCTGCTCTTTAAGAACACGTCATGAATCTAACGTAGACTTTTTCTTAGGACCTTTCTCAAGAACACATTTAAGAAAAAAACTTGGGAATGTTATAAATTTTTGCATGAACGTTCAAAGTCTAGAAAGCCAAAACTCAAAACAAACCTCATACTATCCAGCTTAGTCCTGCATGTCATCAAACCCGAGTCAAAGTGCACAACAAGGGAACTCATCCATCTTTTGAGGGAAATGATGCAAGAAATGACAATTAACAATGTTATATTACTGCATGTAATCTGTCATGACAACAAATGACTTGCCATGATGTGTAAGCCATGGAAATATCAATGTAATGTGGTGTTCAATTACAATGTTACTGGCTTTTTATGGTAGCTTAGTGTTGATTAATATGGATATACAAGATCATGTATTGTGAACTCTTTTTGTTTATGAGTTATAAGAAGCAAAGGAGCCTATTGAAATTTTCACTTTTATTTACTTAGCCTACATTTACAATGTACTTACATATCTGAAAAATCAATCTTTTTTTAGATCATTTTAATTTTTTTATCCAGCTTTAATACTTTTTCATTTTGTACATTGCAATGTCTTAATACAGAAAAAAGAAACAGAAATTGATTTTTCTTTATTTTCATGACAATATTTGACAAAAGTTGCGGATATGTTGTTTGTGAAGAATTCTTGCTGTACTATGAAAAGTTCAACCAAAAAAAGAAAATTTCATAATGTTGTATTGTATTATGTGACATTTTGAGTTTAACATCTCGAGGTCTCGGATGTTTCTTGATCTGCAGTTACATTTAATGTATGTCATTGTACACAGATTGTAAATAAAAGTTTTTTTTTTCAGTAACATATTGAAAGCAACATATTCACTCACCAATTTATTACAATCCTTGTTGGTCCACCTTGCTGATGTATAGTTACAGACTACAGGCCACGTCTGTCCAGCTCTGGTCCTACAAAAGTCCTAGTCCAGCACAGTTTGGTGGTTTTCCCGATCAAACACATATAATTCTTTGCAGCAATTCACTCTGCAAAAAATGATATCTTGGCAGGAAAAACACATCATTCTACTCAATATATCTTGCATTCCTCAGTATGAGATTTGTGGGAATATTATAAAGTTATTCAACTTAGTTGCTTAGATGCTTTTACTCATTTGTCATTTAGAGAAATTGTTTCATTCTATTGGCAGATGATTTTGCTTGTTTTAAAACAATGCAGATGATTTTGAAACAAACACAATGATCTGACAATAGAAGACAATCCTTTATTATAAAATGACTTAAAACAAGCAATGAATGTCTAGAAATAAGTTAACCAATCTCATAACATCCTTACAACAATCTCCTAATGAAAACGCTGTTTATCTGATGGGGACAGTTTTGGCAGTCCACCAGGTCTTCCAGGTGGTTGTTAGAAGTTTTCTCTGTAACTTTTAATCATATTTTTAAACTCTGTTTTTTTTCCACTGATTTTCATTGTCTTTCTCCTTTCTTATACAAGTGGATTATCTTATATCTAATATCTTCAGACATATCTCCTGAAAAGAGTGGTCTTTAATCTTTTAGTGAGTTTTTAAGATTTTAGTTTTATGCATTATTCTGACATATCTATTCGACTTGTAAAATATTCATGTCTTAATCTTTTCACCCCTGCAGTAGTTTGTAATAAAGGGGGTGGTGAGGGTTTATTAAGAATATCCACACAGAGGCTGCACTGACGGTAATGGAGAACTGAAGAGAATGCAAATATGCTTCCACTAGATGTCAGTAGTGCACCAAAAACATTACGTTGTCCTGACTGGTGACAGCCTATGCAGTCTTCTCAGTTCGGCCTTTCTTGTGAAGTTTCATCCTCAGCAGATAAAACATAAATGACACAGAGTGTAGAAATACTGGCTACGACAGGAAGAACCTTCAGAGCAGCCAGGAAACTGATAGGGAGCTATAAGGAAGGAAAACAACAGAAGAAATCCCCACTAAGTGAAAACACTAATTTGGTTCAAACAACTGCACTGATTCAGCTTCTGGGCACAAAGTCTGTTTGAGGCCTTGTTACAGCTAAAGATGTTCAAGCGCCAGAAAATCAATGGCAGCATCCGCGTCAGCTTTATTTGTAAAACATAGCTCAATATTATATTATTTAGCCTCATCAGTTTACTAGAATTCATGATTTTACATCATTTTCATATTTTCATTCATCAGTGTTCTCTAACTACAATACCCAGCATGCATTATGTAAATATGTCATACCATTGGTAATCCCTGTGGTGACAACCAATCGTGACTGCTAGCCTAGCCACTAATCTATAGGCTAATACATACAACCAAGCTAGCATTAGAGTGCCTCTTGGTGGTTGGTATAGTGTAGTGGGTAATGCCTCTGTCTTCTATGCTGAAGACTGGGGTTCAGTCCCCCACCTGGGCAAGGACCCTACACTGTATCAGTAATAGTCCTTGGGCAAGACTCCTAACACCATCTTTGCCTTCCTGTATAAAACGATCATATCGTAAGCCGCTCTGGATAAGAACGTCTGCCAAATGCCGTAAATGTAAGTGTTACCTCAGTCACCAAACAAAACTGTAAAGAAAACAGTGGTTTTATCTTTATTCAGCACAAAATAGACACCAAAGACAAGCATTTGACCCTTTCAGCCATACAGAGGGAAGGTATCTAGATAGCCAGGTACCTTGCAACCTGTAGCTGTTAGCTTGTCCTTATCATTTCTGTCATTTGAGTAATCCATTCTCTCCCTTGTAATGATGATTTGAAGACAGTTACTGCGTATAAAAAATATTCAGCTCCCTAGCAGTTGTGTTTGCTATCTGGCTCCCTTTCTTTTCTTGCAAGTAAGTGAAAAATATATATCAAACAGCCTCCCCTGCAAAAAGCAGGTGTAGTTTTTCAAAGGTTCCTCCCACCTTCAAGATATGTCATTATATGGATTTTTTCAAACAGGAAAATCTCAGTCTACAGACTACCGCCGCTGTAGTAGGTAAGTAGACATGTTTATAACAGATGTAGCAATAGATAACTTACCATAATGGCCGGAGTTTCTTTTTCTGGATCTATAGGCTACATTTCTGTGTAGCCAACAGCCTACTGCCTTGATACTTCTATCTTTAATCATAATCACAGTCTTATCGTAAATCTGGAACTCAACCCGACTGGCCAAATGACAATTCCAAGATAAGACGCCCATTTTTCGGTCCACCAGCCTAGCTCAGAGTAAACCTTTAATGTCTACAAGAGGGGTGGATGAGCCGAAGTTGTCTGACCGTGCTGAAGCCTCTGGAGCCGAGCCAACGCTGCGTCACATGAACCTCTGCACTGGGAGGATGATTCCTTATGCAAGATTGGATATGAGATAATGAACTCGGTGCCGCTATGATGTTCCACTTGACTGAGCCTCGTCTGTCCAGGATCTGCCTGGGAGCTCTTGTTCTTTTCTTCACGGGGCTGGCTTTGTCTTCTTACTGTGGTGCCCGTTAGTGTCAATTAAGTTATTTAGGGTTTAATTCTTTTGGTGTAACAGAGCCAGTTGGGCTGCAGTTCTGAACCCATCAATGATGGATTGAAAAAACAACCCTAGTTCAAGGACTTTTAGGCCCCCTACACTGAGTAATAGACTTGATATTGTGAGAGGTTTGGCTTTAGTATGCAGTATTCATACCTGTTAATTATATATTTAGACATGCTGAATTGCACTGCATATACACTTAGTTGCCAGTTTATTAGGTACATCTCATACCTACACTCATTGACCATTTTGCTAATGAGTGCTTTCCACCATTTAGGTGGACGAAAGTATATAGAATTACTGATTGCAGCATTCCACTTGTCAGCCTCTCTCTACCCTGTTCATCATGAAGGAACCACCATAGGACCATTGCTGACCAGATATTAATTGGGTGGTAAACGGAGGGCCACCCATACTACCTTGCCACTACCATGTCAGTGTCACTGCTGTGCTGTGAATAGTAAACCATGCAAATATCTGGACAGTGGAGGTCCTATGGTGGTCTCTTTCCATTGATGAACGGAGTAGAGGCGGCTGATCAGTTGTGAAGCATCAGATGGGCTGCAGTCAGTAATTGTAAACCTACAACCTACAGTGGTGAGCAAA